TAATAATAGCATAGATCGGGAAAGAAATCTGAAACATTTTTCATTACCTTGAATCACTTTCTTTCCTTCTTTCTATTTTTTCTTTTTTTGAGACAGAGTTTCTCTGTATAGCTTTGGCTGTCCTGAAAAACTTCCTCTGTAGACCAGGCTGACCTCGAACTCACAGAGATCCCCCTGCCTCTGCCTTCCGAGTCCCGGGATTAAAGGTGTGCGCCACCAATGCTCTACCCTTAAATCACTTTCTTATACCATCAGAACATTCTCAAGTTCTCACATCTTCAGACCTCTGTACCCCTTCTTAGACCCTCGGAGCTTACTGAAGCTTTCACTAACTAATGGATTCTCCCGGCCTCTCTTTAGGCACTTCAGTCCCGTCCCGCCCCACAGTGCCAAGTCTCAATTTCTCTCCTTCACGCCTTTTTAAAACTAATACCATCTAGGTGACCCTCACATTACAAAGTTCAGCTACCAACCCTATGAAGTTATGAGTACATGGAGGTACAGCTTTATACCATATTAAACAAGCATTTTTTTTTTTTTTTGGTTTTTCGAGACAGGGTTTCTCTGTGGCTTTGGAGGCTGTCCTGGAACTCGCTTGGTAGTCCAGGCTGGTCTCGAACTCACAGAGATCCGCCTGCCTCTGGCTCCCGGGTGCTGGGATTAAAGGTGTGCGCCACCACCGCCCGGCAAACAAGCATATTTTTTTAAAAACAAATCTTATTATCAACCTTGTTTTTATGATTTTTATTTTCAGGACAGGAGTCAGAGAAAAATAGAGAAAACAGGCATAGGGGTTAAGCCCTAGTGAAGGAGAGATGGATAAGGAGGTTATAGCGAATTGAACCGGCTGTTGACAGCTTGATAGAGCGCAATTTCCCTACTCTATAAGGATGGGCCATTGGTTAGAGGTGGGGCCTCTCCATATGTAAGGGCTACCCTGGACAGGTGTAGGTAGGAAAAAATAGAGGAGGAGAGAGCAAGTGTAGCTATAAAAGATTTCAGATTATTTGTTTATGCAGTGGTAGAAGTTACCACCATTGAAAACCGAGTGTGCCAATCTAGGCCATTGAAATGTACTGAGGCCAAGCTGTTTGCAGTGAAGGAGCAAGGCTGTAATAAACCCGGAGTGGAGGAAGAGAGGAAGGGTCGCAAAAACTCTCTGTAGGAGAGAGTTTCTACAAGCTCCAAGTGGGAGCTGAGAGGCACGAGAGAAGCCCAGGAGGGCATAGAGAAGCTGTGAGACTTCCAGGATCCAGGATGGAGCCGAGAGACCAGAAGGACAAGGTCACAGAAGCCCAGAAGAGCTTAAGGAAGCTGTAGGATTTAGCAGGCAGCTCCTTTTGGGAGGCAAGGAAAACCTCAATATATAGGTTTAGGAGGCACTAGGAGAGCTAGAACTTGGACCTCTGAGACAGGGGGCAAGGAAAGGTCACTGAACCTGGAGCTTGTAGGCAGCTGGGGGGGGGCAGTGAGGAAGTTCTGGAAAGAGCTGGGAGGAGCCATAAGGGAGCAGAGGGGATAAGTGTTGTGGTAACAATAATTTCGATCCTTGCCATGCCCAAGAGTCCTGAAAGACTTGTCAGAGACAGAGGAGAGGCTTCCCTTTTCATACGATGGGTGAGAGGAAGCTTCCTGGCGTGGTGGTGTGGCTTTCCTAGTGAAAGTGCACAAAGCAGGGAGCTCCACTGGTGACCATAGTAACGGAGTAGAAGGGAGAGACAAATGGTTAGAGCAGGTGGAGGAGAACACAGCTGAAGTGCAGGTGTCTTAGGAAGTGGAACTGCACACTTGGTGGCGTCCTGAAGGATATTTTAGGGAGCATACCTACGTGACGGGCAGCCCAAAGGGTGGAGTAGGCAGGCAGCCCAAAAGCTTAGCCGGGAGAGAGGATACTTCTGAGTAGAGTAAAAGAGATGGATGGTTGACCAAGGCAGAGGAGAAGAAGCAGCTGAAGAGGCAGATTCTAGAATCAAATATGGTGGGTGAAAAGAGCCAGCAGGAACAACTAATCCGCCCACACGTTAGGAGTCAGACCAGCAGCTTTGAGTCAGTTTGAAATGTTGAGATGGGGGCTGTCCTGAAAGGCAAGTGGGGCATCCTCTACCTGAAGAGAGAGAACTTTAGGAGGGGGTAGTGTTTGCAGACCCTCGTGTTTTTAGAAGATGGGACAGGCAGTGAAAAGAGAAGACAGGAGTGGGTGACACAAAGGCTAGCCTTATTTTTTTAAAGATGTATTTATTTATTAAGCATACAGTATTCAGCCTGTATGTATGTCTGCATGCCAGAAGAGGGCACCAGATCTCATCATAGATGGTTGTGAGCCACCATGTGGTTGCTAGGAATTGAACTCAGGACCTCTGGAAGAGCAGCCAGTGCTCTTAACCCCTGAGTCATCCTTCCAGTCCCTCTCATGTTTTGGTAAGTATGCAAGGGGTACAAAGGAAGTTTCCAGCTGGTGATCCAGGAACCTGAAGGCATATTCCTCTTTTTCTGAAACATAGAGAGAGAAGTGGTGAGTTAAGTCTAGAAGATGTAGAGCCAGAGTCTGGAGGAGGGCCTGTTGGAGCTTATGAAGTAGTTAGTGATGGGAGCAAGGAGAGGTTCAGGTGAGGGGCCAGGTGCTGACTAATATATCAAGCAGGCAAAAAGAGAGAAAAAAATGAATGCAAGAGCATAAGAAACTGGCCATCTTAGCCGGGCGTTGGTGGCGCATGCCTTTAATCCCAGCACTCGGGAGGCAGAGGCAGGCGGATCTCTGTGAGTTTGAGGCCAGCCTGGTCTACTGAGTGAGTTCCAGGACAGCCTCCAAAACAATACAGAGAAACCCTGTCTCGAAAAACCAAAAATAAAAAGAAACTGGCCATCTTGGTCTGGAGAGATGGCTCAGAGGTTAAGAGCAGTGGCTGTTCTTCCAGAGGTCCTGAGTTTAATTCTCAGCAGCCATGCAGCAGCTCACAACCATCTGTAATGAGATCTGGTGCCCTCTTCTGGTCTCCAGGCAGACATGCAGGCAGAACACTGTATACATAATAAATAAATCTTTTTTTCCTTTTTTTTCCCGAGACACTCTAAGAATTGACCTCTTGGATTTTTTTCATAATTTACCACTCTATTTTATAGTGTCCTGCCTGCATGTAAGCCTGCAGGCCAGAAGAGGGCACCAGATCTCATCATGGATGGTTGTGAGCCACTATATGGTTTCTGGGAATTGAACTCAAGACCTCTGGAAGAGCAGTCAGTGATCTTAACTGCTGAGCTATCTCTCCAGCCCACATAATTTACCACTCTAAGGGTGACCGTGTGAAGACCAGCCAGGAGCAAGTTACAAACTGACCCCTAGCAAGGGTGCTCCTTGGGGTATTGTAATTCCCTTCAAAGTCCTGGAAAGAGACTGTCTCAGTCATGACTGGGTGAGCAGTTTGTTGCTGAGAAGGGAGAAAAGGAAACCAGAGAAGCTGGAGAGGAAGATGAGGGTCTGTGGGTTGAGGCTTGTTAGTGTGACCAAAAATAGCGGAAGAATAATCTGGTTTGGGACTCACAGCTAGGAGCTGTTTTCCTTAGATGGCTTATGTCATGTGGTTATTTTTATTCAAGATGCCAGTGAAAAGACATGAGTGAAGCAACATAGCAAAATCCATCCTTCCTAACCTAGCAAAGATGACTGTCACCCAGGTGGCTGCCTCCATCCTTCCTAACCTAGAGAAGATGACTGTCACCCAGGTGGCTGCCTCGATGGCAGCAAGACAATGTTTCCTTTAAGGTTACCTATATACAGGTTTTTAACTATCAAGTCTGGTGTTATGAGTTTTAAATTAACTCTTTAGATTTTACAGGGCTTTAACCATACCCCATATGCTTACAAATCCTGAGGTACAAAAGTTTACATAATAGTTTTACAAATATTGAGGTAAGATTTATACCATAGCAAAAGTTTTAGAGAGTTAAACCAAAACCAAAAGAATATGAGATGAGAGCTGGGTGTGGTGGCGACCGCCTTTAATCCCAGCACTCGGGAGGCAGAGGCAGGCGGATCTGTGAGTTCGAGACCAGCCTGGTCTACAGAGCGAGTTCCAGGACAGCCTCCAAGACAATACAGAGAAACCCTATCTCGAAAAAAAACAAAAAACAAAAAACAAAAAAACAAAAAAAGACTATGAGATGAGTAGCAGTAGTCCCCACTGGGAATAGTTGTCCCTTTGTTTTGTTTTACTTTCTTTTCTCTGTCACATAGTCAGGTGTATATAGGACAGAGATTTTGGAAGAAACTTTTAAGTGAACACACTTGGGTCTATAGTAGGGGGAGTCATACATACTTCAACTCCAGAGACAGATTTCTATTCAAGTGGGACAGAATAAAACAAAAGTATAATGCCACTCATACCTAGAAGATACTGAATTCCGGTAAAACTGAATCTAGTGAGCTGAGAACAAAGAAGGCTTAGAGGAATTTTTGAGTCCTGGCTGTTGGAGAGGGTGCTGCAGGACGGAGGGAGCTGAGAGGAGCACCAGCCAGTTAGGAGTGTGCTGTGCAGGGTGCAAGCACTGCAGCTGACCTACTCCTTTGCTTTCTCTCCCTCCCACTTTGCAGCAAACTTACATATCCTGTAAGTGTTGCAGCTACAATGGAAAAGTGTCCTGCCAGCTGGGAGCCAAAGAATACCACAACTTCACTGTAAGGGTAGTAGCTCACAGCTGTGTTCCAGGGAAAGGTTTCCCCACCGTAACAACTCTGCTCCAGCAGGGTAGGATTTCCCCAACCAAGTTGTTACAGATATGCTTAGGTCCCCTGGAGTGTAACAACCTCACTCCCATAGGGGAAGTTTTCCCTTCACATAGACATACACACAGGCAAAACACCAATAAAAAGTAAAAAGAAATAAATTAAAAAATAAGTAAAACAAAATAAAACACACATCAGGGATGTAGCTTGGTGGTATGTATAGTAATAGGTCCTTGGCTCAATCTCCAGTACTAAAAAAAATAAACAAATCCAGTTTTTGTTCGATATTCTAAAATATTTTAATAATTAAGACTGGTGGGAAGACTGATATACAATGTAATTATTTATTTTACACGATTCTGTACATTAGGGAAGCATCTTGACATACAATATGCTAGGCCTTTACTCCTTTACATAAACGATTGTGACTTCAAATTGCAGAAAAAAAACACAAAGTCAATTTTTATATACACTAAAACAGAAAGAACCACTGACTAGATGCCGCCCTAACACATGTCTAAGAAGACAACTGAGATGAACAGTGAATCCGAGCACACAGGAGCAGGCAGGCAGCTCAGGCTTGGCACAGCGCAGGGAAGCAGCAGAGAAAGACGACTGAAAAGCTACTTTGCTGTCAGGCGTGGTGAGGCACATCTGTAATCCCTGTACTTGGGAGGTGGAGGCAGGGCTATCAGAAGGTCGAGGACTTCCTTGGCCATACAGTGAGTTTGAGGCCAGCCTGGGTTACATGAGGTGCTATCTAATAAAACAGACAGTGTAGACATATGTAAAGCAGTCTCCAATCCAACAGGAAAGAGTGGCTGGAATCAGCTAGGGACATAACAGTGGCAGACAGCACTGGTCTAGTTTGTGAGAACTTGGGTTCCAACCTGAGCACACTGAACAAATGCAATCACAAAGGACAATGGAGAATGATCAGGTTAGCAGTTACAGCAACCTTGTATCTAGACTTCTAACAACTTAGAGCTGTCATTGGTTTTTCCCTACCTAACCCAAGTGTTAAGAAGCTTTGAGGTGTGTGTGTGTGAGGGGGGGGGGTGAGTCAGTCTTGTTTCCAGAAACTACCTGGCAGTAACAGGAAAAACAAAACCACCTTTCCCTCCATAGAGAAGGAAGTACTATTTTTAAGGTCACTTTAGATTTTGTTTGCCCTCTATTTTGAGTCTTTAGTAAATGTGATGTTAACAAGGAGAAAGTTGCTGAAAAAACACGAACAAGAAACAGAATAAAGCAGAAGGAAGACTTAAAACAGTCACAGCTACTAAACAATAAGGCGAGTAAGGATGCAGTATGCCCACTGGCGCATATGACCCCAGGTGTGGAAGGCTGGGAGGAAGATCTCAAGAGGCTACCATAGCCACACATTGAGTTGCAGACTAAAACAAAAATACAAAGAAAAAAGAAAAACCAGGATGCATTTCTTTCCCATTTACAATGTAAATAGTAATCAGGAGGGAACAATGAGGCTGTATGGGTTTCAAGAGAAAAATTCTTTGAGGTACATACACAGATCTGCTTTAGGAAAATGTGCTTACATCACAGATACAAATGGGGAGGGCCTGATGCAACAACTTAGGCACCAACCACACTGGCTACAGCATGGAATTGAAAAGGCAAGTAAGGTGAATGCTGCCAGGGCGGAGAGCAGGAGGCTTGCTGGAGTAAAGAGGGGCTCTGTAGCAGGGGGCTCTGGCTGGAAGCATGGGCACCACCAGCACACAAATGCTCCCACTGGGTGCCTACAACCACTGGTTGAAATGATTTACAGTATCATTGGGTACGAGGAATATATAATAGTGTGTGGAGTTTAATTCATGAGTCAGTTCTCTGCCAAACTGGCATGAATATAAGGCTTTTATCTTGGTTTGTATATAGAAACTGCACTTGACATTCTCATGTGAACAGCTTGATTACAGCTCAGGCTGTTTAATGAATAAATTTCTTTAAGATCACTTTAAAATAAGGACTAGGATGAAAGCCAAACATGGTGGCTCACGCTTGTAACCCCAGTATTTGGGAGGCTGAGACAGGAGTTTGAGGCCAGCCTGGGCTACACAGTTTAAGATCCTGTCTTAAAACAAAAAGAAAGGAGCTTTCTGTCAGGCCTTACCGCTGTGATCTAGAAGGGACTGTGCTTACCTGCCCTGCCAGGGAGGTGCAAGCACTTCTTCTGGAAGTGGGAGCCCCTTTGCTAGGAGGGCAGCGCCTCCGGGATGTTCTGGCAAGAGGATTTGATGGCTGGAAGTAACGCCTACGTGAGTGGGTCACACACCCAAGGCAGCGGGTAAGGCTAACAGCACTAACTGCCTCAGCATAGGCAGTTACTTGTCTTGGGGCAGAGTGTGCCTTCAAGGGGAACCTTCAGTGCAGGAGCTTCGGTGGCCGGTGAGAAGACAGCCCGCAAGCCCACTGCAGTGTTGTTAAAAGGTTCAAAAGCATCAGGCGTTTCACCCTTCTCTAAGGGCAGCACAGGAGAATCTGTCCCAGTGAAAGGCTACGTTCATAGAAGTGCTATCACCCCTAGACCAGATCCCAGGGCAGCTCTGGCTGTGTGGGAAGTGCTATGGTCGCCCTGGAGACAAGCAACAGAACAGCTTTGCTTTTCCCATGGTCCCTTAGTCCTTTTCTCACACCTCAGCATCATGGGCGGTGATAGCTGGAAGGGTCAAAGAGGAAAAAGTTACCAGACAATAGAGACTGTTTTCTTATTCTTTACATTCGTCTGGGAAAAATCAAAAGGATTATTGTTGATTACAAATATATACACGTCGAGTGGTGCTGAGGACTGAACCTGGGCCTTGCACAAGCTCTGCCACTAAGTTAGCCCTCCAGCTCTGGACTGCTGGGTTAGTGCTATTGTTGTAGCTGGGCAGGTGGTGTGACTTCCTGCACTAGGGAGTTTGAGGACTGCTTTGAGTTTCAGGCTTGAGCTATAGTGTGAGATCCTGTCTCCAAAGACCAAAAAAATAAAAAATAAAAAATAAAAAGGGATTCTCCCCTTCAGGACCTACTATCTCGTGTTGACATGGTGGCACTCAGAACTGCAGGCTGAGGAGGCAGGGTCTGAGAGAGAGGAGAGAGATGCTTGCTGTCTAGACTTAAGGCATCTCCATCTCAGTATGCCACATGCATCCGCCTCAAATGGCTGCAGCTTATTTCCCAGCCACCCTTCTGTACAAGAGCTTGTAGAAACCCAGGGCTCTGTCCTCATTCCCTGTTGCAACCAAAAGATCCAGAATTGTATGTCTGTGTTGTGAGTAAGTTAAATAAACTTACTGCCTCACAGACTTCAATATACAAAATAAGAAATACATACACTACCACATCCAGTTTATTATGCAGTGCTGGGGATGGGACCCAGGGCTTTGTGCATGCAAGGCAAGTGCTCTACCAGGCTGGCCTTGAACTTAGAGATCTGTAAGCATGAGTTTTCTGGCCCGTCAGGGTTCCGCTGTCCTTGAGAGCCCCAAATAAACGCACAAGACTTATTTATATTAATTGTAAAAATTTTGACTGGTGGCTTGGGCTTCTTTTGGATAGTTCTGCCTTAATTATTAACCCATAACTACTATTCTATGTATTTTCACATGATCTTGGCTTACCAGAGAATGCCGGACCTGCAACTCCTTTGCCTGCTATATGGCGACTAACTCTGGCGAGCTCTCCTGTATACCTTGTTGCCTCATTGGCCATTGGCCCAACAATGTTTTATTTATCAACCAATAAGAGACACATACACAGCAGGACAACCCCCATCAGGGATCCACCTGCATCTGCCTCTTGAGTGCTGGGATTAAAGGCATGAGCTACCACTACCTGGTGTATTATTCTAGTTTTTTTTTTTTTTTAGTTTTTTTTTCGAGACAGGGTTTCTCTGTGGCTTTGGAGGCTGTCCTGGAACTCACTTTGTAGACCAGGCTGGCCTCGAACTCACAGAGATCCGCCTGCCTCTGCCTCCCGAGTGCTGGGATTAAAGGCGTGCGCCACCAACACCCGGCTGTATTATTCTATTTTTAATGTCTGTGTAGTGGGAGTATAGTCCCACATATACTACAGTGGACATGTGGGAGTCAGATTACAGCCTAGGATGTCAGTCTGTTTTCCACTTGTTTGAATCAAGGTCTGTTGTTCACTGCTATGTATACCAGGCTAGCTCATGGACTTCTGAGAACTGGCCTATCTCTGCTTTTCATCTCACTGTGGTGCAGTGGGGTGATACTCACAGCTGCATCTGGCTTTACATGGGTTCTGGGGATCCAAACTCATCTTTACACTTTTACAACAGTGCTCATCCACTTGCTTTGTTTCTTACTACAAGGCCTAAGAGTCTAGATTGGCCTTGAACTCCTGATCCTCCTGCCTCCATCTTCCAAGTGCTGCAATCATAGATGTATGCCATTGTGCCTGGCTTTCTAGATCAGTAGAGTTACTTCTATCTGAACAACCTGGTTTGTCTGTAGGGGAAATTTTACTTGGCTACAAATACTTGGACCTTTGGGTCTTACCGTGTAAAATGTTTGCTGTCTTCATGAACTTCCATCTCTGAGCTTTTAAATTCATTTAATTCTTTTCTTATGGCAGCCTGTAGGATACAAACAAGATTTAAGCATCTTTTCTCACCTGAAAGGCAAGCCGTGTGACTTGCCATGTATCTCTAATGGGCTTACCGTTAGAAGGAACCACAAGTCTTGGGTGCAGCCCCCGAGGGAAGAAAAAAGCCAGGTCAAGAGAGCCAGTGGAGCTAAGTCAGATACACAGTATTCTACTTGATACCACTTAGCTTTATGCAAACCCTAGGGGCTCAAGTTAAATCAATAAAAAGACTGTACAGGCATGGCAGTTTCCACAGCACAGTAAACAAGGGTATAGAAAAAAAAAAAACAGAAGTGAAATAAGTATAATTACTCAAATACAGCACCAAATATCCTCCAATTGTTGCTGTTAAAAATATGGGAAGCCGGGCGTTGGTGGCGCACGCCTTTAATCCCAGCACTCGGGAGGCAGAGGCAGGTGGATCTCTGTGAGTTCGAGACCAGCCTGGACTACCAAGCGAGTTCCAGGACAGCCTCCAAAGCCACAGAGAAACCCTGTCTCAAAAAACCAAAAAGAAAAAAAAAAAAATGGGAGATTTATTTATTTATTTACTTATTTATTTATTTTGGTTTTTCGAGACAGGATTTCTCTGTATTATTTTGGAGGCTGTCCTGGGACTCACTCTGTAGGCCAGGCTGGCCTTGAACTCACAGAGATCCGCCTGCCTCTGCCTCCTGAGTGCTGGGATTAAAGGCATGCGCCACCTATGCCCGGTGAGATTTTATTTTTAGAAGCTTTTTTTGTATGCGTTGATTGTTTTCACTTCATTTGTGAGGGTGCCAGATCCTCTGAAACTGGAATTATAGACAGTTGTGAGCCACCATGTGGGTGTTGGGAGTTGAACCCAGGTCCTCTGGCACAGCAGTTGGTGTTCTTAAACACTGAGCCATCACTCCAGCCATTAAAAGTATGTTTTATTGGGACTGGAGACATGGCTTGGTAGTTAAGAGCACTGGCTGCTCTTTCAGGGAACCCAGATTCAATTCTCAGCACCTACATGGCAGCTCACAACTGCCTGTAACTCAGTTCCAGGGGATGGGATGACCTCTTCTGGCCTCTTTGTACACATGCCAGAAAAACATCCAGTAACATAAAATTGTGTGGGGTTTTTTTGTTTTTTGAGACAGGGTTTCTCTGTGGCTTTGGAGGCTGTCCTGGAACTAGTTCTTGTAGACCAGGCTGGCCTCAAACTCACAGAGATTCATCTGCCGCTGACTCCTGAATGCTGGGAATAAAGGTGTGCACTACCATCACCCAGAAATACAGCAGTTTTCTTAATGTTTAATATAAAAATTGAGATTACACCTTGGCATTTTGTATCTTGCTTTGAAACTTAACATCCTATCAAAACTAGAAGCTCTGCTGCTGGCTTACTCTTCTCATCAGTAACTGGCTCCTTCAGAGAAAGAAGGGCAGGGCACACTGGGGTAGATGCCTGCTTGCCAAGGGCCTCTCTTTCTGTTACCTCCATGCTTAAACCAATGTTTAAAAGCTTTGTTAATAAACCCTAAGTGTGTTTCAAAATAAAATAACAGAAAAGAGAAGAATAAGAGGGAGAATCTGTGAGCATCTTTTGAGTTACCTTGTCAGCAGGGGTCAGTTTGGTCCAAGGTTTATCAGCTCGCCGGTCATAATCCTGAGCGTCTGTTACCTCCACATACTCATTAAACCTCAGAATCTTCCTGGCAAGAAGTTCAGCCACGGTTGGCCTTTGACTGAGCTGAAAGAAACAGAGCCAATCATGCCTTCAAATTGCCTTTATCATTCACTGAACACTGGAGTTACATGGGGAATTTCTTTCTTCCTTCCTTTCTTTCTTTTAAATTTAGGTTTTTGAGATAGTGTTACTATGTGTAGCTCTGGCTGTCCTGGAACTCACTCTGTGGATCAGGCTGGCCTCAAACTCAGAGATCCAGATGCCTCTGCTTCCCGAGTGCTAGGACTAAAGGTGCTGTGGCATTATACCTGGCAATTCTTATAATTTTAAGAATCATCTAGAGAACTAAGAGACAATCACAAACATAGAGCACAGAATGGAAAAGAAAAGAGACCACTCCAGTGCCAAAATGGGTCCAATGCAGAAAAGGTCCTATCCTGACTGATCTGGACAAGGGAGAAAAATCATGTCTTTTCTTATTTTTCAGGTCTCAGGATTATTTCAATTACTTTCTCAATTACAAAACTAACAGTTTGCCTCCAAAGCCACAGAGAAACCGTGTCTCGAAAAACCAAAAGAAAAAAAAAAAAGGAAAACAATCAGTTTGGGCTGGCGAGATGGCCACCGAGAAGGCTCAGCCGTTGTGAGCATTGACTGCCCTTCCAGAGGTCCTGAGTTCAATTCCCCAGCAACCACATGGTGGCTCACAACCATCTGTAATGAGATCTGGTGCCCTCTTCTGGCCTACAGGCAGACATGCAGCCAGAACACTATATCATTAAAAAAACAAAAGAAAACAAAACAAAACAAAAAAACAACGCAAAAACCAGTTTGCTTTGCAAAACAATTCTATCATTGTTTCTGCATGCCAATAAAATTTTTAGCCTAAAAGGGCTCACTGGTAGAACACTTGTCTAGAATGCACAAAGACTCTTTTTTGATTCCCAGCCCCCCCCACACACAAAAAGCAAACAAACGCCCCCGACAAACAAGAAACCTCCCACCACGTTCAGAGCTTTATATTTAAATGTGTCAAGTATCAACCTCTGTCAAGTATGAAAAACAAACCAACAGATGCCACTCCTGCTAAGGTGGCAGGTTTTCTATGTGTATGTACTCTTTTCGTATCAATCTAAAGCACAAGTCAAACTTGTTGATTCCAATCACATAGGTCATTCAAATACAAGGACACCGTACCTTTCTGGTGAGTCGACGCTTAATCTCCCGTTTCTCTGCTTGGCGATCAGCTTCATTTTTAGCTTCAGTTGACAGATACAAATGACATTACTTCAAAATGACAATTTGCACAGCAAACATTTTTAGTAATTATAATACATCTATTTCTTAGAGGTGAAGCTAGAATGGAATACTCCACTTGTGAACGGCTGATCAAGAACGCTTTCCTAGCAGGGCAGTCTTTTCCTGTCCATTGTACAGACAAGGACAAAACACATACAAGTAAAATAGTAAGTTATATATAAAAGGAATGCATGCTGCTCTCGCAGAGCCCCACGGTTAGTTCCCAATGCCCATACTGGGTGGTTCACAACTGCCCGTGACTCTGACTTCAGGGGATCTGATGCCTCTGGCCTCAGTGGCCACCTGCACCCATGTGCATGTACACACATATATGCAACTAAAAATAGGCAACTGATATTGCACCCTGTCAAGGGCGGCATCTACAAAGCTTCTCAATTCTAAATTCACCGAGGGACCAGACTGTGAATATAGGATCCAAAAGCACCGAGAAAACAGGTGATGGAATGGCCAGATGGACCGCTCAGAAGCAGCTCCTGGAGACCCTGCCCATTCTCTGCCGAAATACTACTACTTTCATTCATCCTGCTGTCTCTTATCCACCGTGTGTCTTTCCACTCTACACAGACACCATCCTTCATCACTGTACCCTTTTTCCTTTTGGAGTTTTTCCTCTCACCACTGTATTTATGTCCACAGGGATGAAATAAATAAGAGTTGCCTAGAGGAGATCACTCTCCAAGGGGGCAAATGAGACTTTGGTCACAGTCAGAGGAATGGCATTTGAGGCACAAGGACACAGGGTATCCTAGGGCATGGCTGGTCCTTGTCATAGGGGCTCAGCTCAAGTTCCTCACTGAGATGTGTACTTCCAAGGTACAAGGACACAGAGGGGCCTTAAGAGAGGAGTGTAGTCTCTGGAGTTCCAGGGGTGTGCTGAATCTACTCTGTGAGAAGGGACTAACATGGCTTTGGGGTTGGAAGACAGATGGGGGACCTGGAATGGGAAGACCTGGCTGGGACCATCCCTGGCTATTTTAACTGGTCTGGAGATGAGCCGGTGAGGCTGTAGAGCATCAGTCTAGAACAATGAGATGGGAGTGTGAGGCAGGGCTGCCATCTGTCCTTGGGAGCTCCAGAGCACATGTTCTGAGTCAAAACTCTGGCAAAAAGGGCTGGAGAGATGGCTGAGTGGTTAAGAGCACTGGCTGTTCTTCCAGAGAACCCAGGTTCAATACCCAGCACCCACATGACAGCTCACAACAGTCTGTGAACTCCAGTTCCAGGAGATCCGACATCTTCGCATAGACATAAATGCCACAGAGTTAACTATACACACGGACAGGAAGTTAGATATATGCTACTATTTGGTGGCTGCAGAAATACAAGTCAAGAAGTAAAAGCAGAAGGAAAACCATGGACCAGGGGATTGTTTTGGGCCTCATCCTTAGGATACACCAGGAACAGGAATGTCTTTTCCATTAGCTCAGCCATAACAACAAATACATGGAGCAAGCCTGCACACACTGTCACATTGTCACAAACACCAATGCAGACCCAGGATGACATGAAAACATTCCAACAAAATTTTCTGGCATATCACAGTACACTAAACAATACCATGGTGATATCCTCCTAGGAAACTGGGCTTCCAGAGCAGGAACTAACTCTCCTTGGCCCTTTCAGCAAATACTTCTGTACTAATGCATATCACACTCATAGTTCACAAAGCCCTGGGCTTCATTAAGCTGGACTCACGCTGTAGTATATTCCGTTGCTCCAGTTCTTCTGGTGTCGGTCTTTGACTCAGTCGCCTACAACAGAGAGACACAGGGTATTTAACTGTGCACAGCAAACCTCCAATCACTTCAAAGAATCTGGCTTTTGTTTTTTTGGCCAAGATTTCTTTTTTTTTCCCCCTTTCTTTTCTTTTCTTTTTTTTTTTTTCCAGGACAGAGTTTCTCTGTATTGTTTTGGAGGCTGTCCTGGAACTTGCTCTGTAGACCAGGCTGGTCTCGATCTCACAGAGATCCACCTGCCTCTGCCTCCCAAGTGCTGGGATTAAAGGCAAGTGTCACCAAAGCCCAGCAAAATCAGTAAAATTTCTAACATATACTTCAGTAGCTAATTTGTTTATCATGAAACCAGTTTTGACACTGGAAGTGCTAACATACATACAATATTATGCTAAATACGGTGGCTTACATCTGTGACGTCAGCACCTGAGGGTAGATACATAAGGTTAACTAGATCCTGCCTCAAAATGGCAAGGTGGAATCAAAAAAAAAAAAAAAAAAGGCTGGGCGTTGGTAGCGCACACCTTTAATCCCAGCACTTGGGAGGCAGAGGCAGGCGGATCTCTGTGAGTTCGAGGCCAGCCTGGTCTACAGAGCGAGTTCCAGGACAGCCTCCAAAACAATACAGAGAAACCCTGTCTCGAAAAAATTAAAAAAAATGGCAAGGTGGGCAAGTGTGGAAGTAACTTAGCAGTTAAAAGCACTGAATGTAGCCAGGCGTTGGTGGCGCACGCCTTTAATCCCAGCACTCGGGAGGCAGAGGCAGGCGGATCTCTGTGAGTTCGAGACCAGCCTGGACTACCAAGCGAGTTCCAGGACAGCCTCCAAAACCACAGAGAAACCCTGTCTCGAAAAACCAAAAAAAAAAAAAAAAAAAAAAAAAAAGCACTGAATGTTCTACTAGAGAATCCAGGTTTAGTTCTAAGCCCCCATGTGGCAGCTCAAAATGACTGGAACTATAGTTCCAGAGGATCTGCTGTCATCTTGTGGGTTTTTGGGGGCACTGTACACAGTTACATACAGCCAAAGCATTCACATGCGTTAAAAAAGAAAAGAACTTTAAACAAACAAAAAGAATCCTTGCCAGGAGTGATGGTGGCTCATGCCAGGAACAGCCAGCCAGGACAACCAGGGCAACACAGAGAAACTCTGTGTCAAAAAAAAAAAAAAAAAAAAAAAGTGTTCATAATCTCATAAATCTTGTGTGAACTGATGTCTCTAGTAGTTCTGGTTTCCTGTTTATCTGATCATTGGTGATATTGAACTGTTTTTTGTTTTTTTTGTTTTTTGTTTTTGTTGTTGTTTTGTTTTTTGAGACAGGTTTCTCTGTGTAACAGCTCTGGTCTGTCCTGAACTAGCTGGGTAGACCAGGCTGGCCTTGAACTCACAGAGATCAGCCTGCCTCTGCCTCCCAAGTGCTGTGGTTAAAGGCGTGCGCCACCAATGTATAGCTACATATTTTTGTTTTGAGATAGGGTCTCACTGTGTTCCCTTGATTGTCCTGCAACTTACTATGTAGACCAGGCTAGTCTCAAAGCCAAAGATCTACAGTACGAGACTTTCATAAAACAACAACAAAAGAGTTTACATTATAACCCCAAAAGTTTTGCAGTGAGAACACTGGTGGAAACAAATAGAATCCTGGCTTTCAAAGTAGCCCCACGATCAGTAGTACGAACAAGAAATACAAACCAGGCCCCACCCTGAAGCAAAAACTCTGGGTGGAACTCAACAATTTGCTTTTTAAACAAGTCTGCCAGGTAAGCTAAGCCTGCCAAATGAATGCTTAAGTGTGAGAACCACTGACTAGAATTAATTAGAGGAACAAAAAAAAAAAAAATCAGAGGTAAACACCATCTAACAGGGTTATGACTCAATTAATTGTATTGATTCAGTGGAGTAACACACAATGATCATTAGTAATAAAGACAAAGACTACATATTTGGTTGCTGGTGGTGGTGCAAGCCTTTAATCTTAGCACTCAGGAGGCAGAAGCAAGTGGACCCCTGAAAGATGATAAGGGCCTGGAGAGACAACTCAGCACTTAAAAGCACATACTACTCTTCTAGGGGACCGAAGTTTGAGCCACAGAGTTCATATAAAGTGGCTCACAACTGTCTGTAATTCCAGTTCCAGGGGATTCTATACCTCTCTGAAGTCTCTGAGGTCACTTTACTCATACATGTGCGTGCACACACACACACACACACACAGAATTATTAAATCTTTAGACTAAAATGGCTAAGAATAATTTTCAGATTAAAGCAGACTGAAGAGACAGGGCAACTAGATATCACATATTTCCTCAGAATGGAAATTAGACTTGGGAGCCATAAAACCCTACTTTTAAATATTATGGCATAATGAGGCAGTTGTGGTGCACGCCTTTAATCTCAGCATTCAGAGGCAGAAGCAGGCAGATCTCTTAGTTTGAAGCCAGCCCAGCCTGGTCTACAGAGTAAGATCCAGGACTGCCAGGGCTACATAGAGAAACCTTGTCTTGAACAAAACAAAACAATTATGGGGTGAGGGTAGTATATACCAATAATTCTAATACTTGGGAGGTGGAGGCAGGAGAATGAGAACTTCAAAGCCATCCTCAAGTATATAGTTTGAGAATAGCTTGGACTACATGAGACCCTGTCTCAAAAATAAATAAATACACATAAATAAGTGACAGTAGTTTTTTTTATTGGTAAGTATGGTGTGGGAAAAGACAATGTCCTTCTTCAAGGTACTTAGGAGTAGAGTCCCCAAGCCTAGTGTGGTAGCACACACTTTTAATTATAGTACTCAGCAGAGGCAGTGGATCTCTCTCAGAGCTATATCATGAGGCCTTGTCTTGAAAAACAAAATCAGTTGGATGTGTTAGTACGCATATACCTGTTACCCTAGCCCTTGACAGACTGAGATAGGAGGATTCTAAAGTTCAAGGCCAGTCTGGGTACATTGAGAATTTGAGGTCAGCCTGAGCTACAATCAGAGAACCTGTCTAAACAAAACAAAGGATCATGAATGTTTGAGTTTCATAACATGGCTCAGGTTAGCTTGGAACCAGCAATATTCTAGCTTCAGTCTCCGAAGTGCTGAAGTTACAAGTTACATCATACCCAGCTTACACTGTGTCCCGAAACGGTCCAGAAAAAAACAAAGTATGTGCATACTGGCAGGGGTACACAATAATCAGTAACACAAACAAGTACACATTAATACATGTGGGTAAAGGGTGTGTTTTCTCACAATTTTTCTTATTTGAAATGGGTATCTCCCCTTCTAAAGTAAATGAAAAACAATATGAGATAAAGGTTTCAGCACCCCATATGCCAGAGTAGACAAAGGCCTTGTTTCTGGATGCAGCATACACAGTCTGTGTACAAGAGAAGCAGGACTCTCGGAGAGATGGCTGAGTAGTTACAAGTACTGTCTGTTTTTCCAGAGGACCCAGGTTCAATTCCCAGTACCCACATGGTAGTTCACAACTGTCTGTAACTCCAGTTCCAGAGGATCTGACACCCTCACACTGATGCATATAAAATAAATTTAAATAAATTAAACAAAAAAAAAAAAGAAAAAAGAAAAGCTCGATGTCTATGGTAGGAAAGAAAGCTGGACCTTAATTAATGAAACCCTCAGTTAACTTCTCTCACAGGGAGAAGGCCAAGAGTTTTCCTACCTTTATCCCTTTTAGATGGGGGAAGTACCCAACCCACGAAAATACCTGACTACACACAAACATGCTAAACTACATGAACCAGAGGCTGGCCTGTATCCACTTCCCTCCTTGATTCCAGCTGACTTGAAAAATAGGCTAACTTTTTGAAAAGAAGTTACATGGTACTTATTTTAAAAACAAAACAAAAATGCAGGTGTGATGAGTTAGGTTGGCATTTCATGGTTCAGCAACAGGGTAAGTCACACAGGAATCTGCATGTCCTGGGAACCAGCCTGACTTCTTTAGCAACCTTTGCAGAACCTCCTGTGTTACGTGATGGCTGACGGCTCCCAGCTCCCTGTGAGGTTCCCCAACCTCCTAAGCTTAGAGGAAGGAACGCCATCTGTCCAACATACATGGTTAGGAATAACTCTTTTAAAAGACAGATGAATGCTTCACTTTCAAGGGTCTGACACACACAAACCCAAATGCAAAGGCTTACCGGATCAGCGTGTTCCCAATCTGGTGCCGTATTTCATTCCACTCCTCCTTGCTTTTACGAGGCCAAGAATTCAGGTTCAACTCTGGTTCACTGGGCCTGCTGCTCAGCTTCATTGCCAGCGTGTCTTTCCTCTTCACTTTGTTGGCCAGGGCACCTTTACACAGGGAAACAATGCTGAAGCACAAAGGCTCATGGGAACCAGGCAAGAGAGGGAGAATACAACTCCCAGGACCCAGCTGGCTTCAAATGACCCAGTCAAACACAGAGGAAGGGACAATATAAGACATTGAGAGATAGTTTCAGCAAAATGGAATCAGGCAAAGGATACCATCTCTCTGCCAACAGCCCTCTACATCTTCCTCCTTTAGTTGAGTTTACTTTTTTAATTTTACGGGTTGAGGGTGTTGGGTTCCTTAGAACTGGAGTTACAGACAGTTGTGAGCTGCCATGTGGGAGCTGGGAATTGAGCCCAGGTCCTCTGGAAGAGTAATCATTGAGCTATCACTCCAGCTCCCTTATTCATTCATTCATTTATTTTTGTTTTGTTCTTCAAGAAAGGGTTTCTCTGTGTAATAGCCCTGGCTGTCCTGGAACTCACTCTGTAGACCAGGCTGGCCTCGAACTCACAGAGATCCTCCTGCCTCTGCCTCCTGAGTGCTGGGATTAAAGGCGTACGCCACCAATGCCCAGCTCTCACCTAATTTTTCAATGTAACCTCTATACCAGTTTTCTTCTATAAGTCTTAGTCTCCATCTTTAGGGTAAATGGTTTCAGTTTGTTGTTTTTTATTTCTGTACTGAGGACTGAATCCAGGCTCTTTGCTTAACACAGACTCTACAGCTGAACTAGATCTCTGGTCTCTAGGTGGTCAGATCTGAAACACAAACCCAAGAATCTGAATGATAATGGCACACACTTTTGCTCCTAAAACTAAGGCAGAGGCAAGCAGATGTCTGTGAGTTCAAGGCTACTTTGGTCTACACAGTTGAGTTCTAGGCTAACCAGTGCTACCCAGTTAAATTTTTTTGTCTCAAAAATAAACAAAAAATAAATCCAAATGATTTGATCAATATGGCTTCTTCTCATGACTTCCTTCAACAAAGGCCTGGTAATAGGGAGGGGGGAGTCCTTCACACCAGCTTCCAACAGCCAGAGGACACCATGGAACAGGGTACCTGTTTCCACTCTTGCTGGGCATCTAGCTCACTGATACAGGGTTTGCCTAACCAAGTGTGATGCCCAGTCCCCAGCAGCACACACAAAAGGGCTTCCCATCACACTTTCCCCTCCCTTGCTTACTCTGATGGCTGTCATCTTCATCATCTTCATCTTCCTCATCTCGATACTGAATGGGACCCTCTGAATCTGAGTCACTCTCCTTTTCTTCCTCTTGCAGACACTGTGGTAGTTTAGGAGTGACTGAGGTAGATGTCATGTCTTCAGCAAATGCCAATGGGCAGGTCTGCTCTTCTTCATCATCATCTGGACTAACAAATGAACATAAGTATATGGTTTTATTTTTTCAGAAACAATGAGGCTTTTCAAAAGGACTGAAACACACAAAAAGTTCATTAGCAGCAAAACTCATAAATCCCTGTCTTAACATTAACATTCTTCCCAAGAAGCCTTTTAGGATTCATGAATCTAAGAAGCACTGGGCTCAAATCCCAGGCTGTTTCTTAGTAGACATTGACACATTTTAAAATTTGCCTGATTTCATTCACAAAAGCCTTTAGAGTAGACACTACCCCCATTTAGATTTGAGATACTCAAAACCAGAGAGGCTGAGTGACATGCCAGGAACTGGATAGATATGATAACCCAGGGTTTCCTCAGTATCAGCAAAACCTCTTAAGCACCATGTAATACATGTGTATCATGTAAAACTTGTAGTGCTAAAGTTCGTATCTACAAACAGGTAACTTTGGTGTTGACACAGAAGTCATCATAAAAATTCACTATAAAAAAACCCCGCAAGTTTAGAGAAATCATCAGGGTAAAAAAGTCCTGTTTCTAGAACTGACACTCTTGGCAGAATGTTCCTTGACCTTTATTTACCCACATTTCCTGAAGGATGCTTCCGGTGTGGGGCTATTTATGCTAAACACAAAAACAGGAGGCAGGCAGTAAACACTCACACTTTGAGCATTTCAATTGTGACAGGAAGTGACCTGGTCCGACCCAGGGTACCGCTGTCCTCAGAGAAGCTGTTGCTGCTCTCAAACAGCAGGGAATGAGCTCTGTGAGCGCCTTCCAAGGGAGGGGTCATGGGAAGGGGGCTAGTAAGAGCCTGCTGAATTCGGATATGCAGCGGCAGTGGGGGCAGCCTGGACGGTATATGGGGCTCCCCAAAGCTCTGGTCTTGCATCTTCTTGGGGATTTCCTTTTTCTGATCTTCCTGCTGGGAAATGTCCTGGGGTACATCTGAAGAAGAGGAAAACTCAACTTCTGGCACAATTTGAAAGGTCTTAGTTGGGGACCTTGGGGGCTCTGGAGGTATGTGGGTAGGCAGTGGGGGAGAGGGGGAGGAAGGCGGGATCATCAGCGGTGGTTCCGAACACACAGAGACAGTTTTTTCTCTTTGATCACTTGCTGTTTTTGTTGTGGGTGAAGCAGCAGGCTCTGAGGTGGGTCCCAAGGTTAAAGGAATGCCTCTCTTGGGTGGTAAGGGTGGGGATGGTTTCGACAACAGTGTACCACTGTTTATTGCTTGGGACAGTTCAGCTAGAAAGAAGAGAGCAACACTCTGTTAGCATGGCCTTGCAATGGACTGAAGATCTCAGTTAGGCAACACTCTGTTAGAATGGCCTTGCAATGGACTGAAGACCTAGGTCAGAGCTGAGGTCAGAACTAACCTTTCAGGCAAATTATATAACTTTGTGGCTTTGTAATTCCTGAAACAAAATTGGTATTTATTCAGACAGAAGATCTAATGGGTAGAGCTGTAAGAATGTTAATCTGAAGACTAACATTTAATTACTGTGATGACAAATATGACAACTCTGGGCTGATGAAATAAACAGAATAGACCCAGGGAAAAAGCTTATTAAAAAGTTGTTTGTGCCGGGTGGTGGCGCACGCCTTTAATCCCAGCACTCTAGAGGCAAAGGCAGGCAGATTTCTGTGAGTTTGAGACCAAACCTGGTCTACTAAAGTGCCAGGATAAGCTCAAAAAAAGAAAAAAAATCCAATAAAACAATTTAATAAATCTTGACTTCTTATGACAAACACAAAACCCTTTAAAGAAACTAAACTTTTTTAAAATGTCTTTTAAAAAGCTTTTAAAATGCACACCTTTAATCCTAACACTCTGGAGGCAGAGGTAGTCAGATCTTTGTGAGTTTGAGGCCAGTATGGTCTATAGAGCTTGTTCTAAAACAGCCAAAGCTACCAAAGAAACCCTGTCTTGAAAAAACAATCAACTTGGGGTAATGGTTTCTTTTTTTCCACCATGAAAGTCATGAGAACCAAACTGAGGTTGTCAAGCTTGGTGGCAAGTGCCTTTATCACTGACCCACTTCATTCTCCAGTACCACTTGAGATGACAAGGAAAAGTAAGGCATCACCTTTTTTTTTTTTCTTCCAGAAGGAAAACTAGAAGTCAGACACTAGGTAACTTGCCCCAGATCAGACTACAGATAAGCATGGCCTTTAGCTGGCACTCAACCTGGTCTGTTCCTCACCATGTTTATTAGTGTGCACACCCCTTACGGCCCTTTGTGCACCCATGATCACTCTGCATTACACTCTGGGTTTGATGGCAGGACAACTCTTGCCTCCAGCAGCAAGTTCACAGGGACACACATAGTGTGCCCTCAACACATGTTTACAAAACAATCTTACTCTGTATCATGACAGCATATATCCCTACTGATCTTCCCAGAGCCCACATGACTCGGGTGGGCCATCACATCATAGGAAGCTATCTTGTGAACCAATTAAAGTGGCGTTCTTTTGATGAACAACTTCTAATGGTCTATCTGAATCTTTTATTTCAGTCTATCCAATGTTCTCAAAGAATCTACAAATTTTCCCAAATAAAATGTTACTTGTCCTTAATCTCATTCCATGTATACAGAGTAAATTATGAGCTAGACTTGAACTGCAATATCCCTTATTATAACTAAACACAAAGGGCATTTTATGTTGACCCGGCAGGACATGCCTATGATCTCAGCAGTGAGAGCAGGATAAGGAGTTCAAGATCATCCTTGGCCACAAGCTGATTTCAAGGACTGAGATCTTGTCAGAAAAACAAAGTGAAAACAAGAAAAAAACAAAATAATCCCACCCCAAACAGATAAATAAAAAGGACACATGACACAAAGGTAAGAATAGCAGTGAGCTATTTTATCTACAATAAAACTTGACTCTAACAATGTTTTTTTTGGGGGGGGAGGCGGGGGTTTCAAGACAGAGTTTCTCTGTGTAACCCTGGCTGTCCTGAAACTCACTTTGTAAACCGACCAGTCTGGCCTTGAACTCACAGAGATCCACCTGTCTCTGTTTCCCAAGTGTTGGGATTAAAGGCATGTATCACCAACACCTGGCTAAAATGCTCATTTTTAATTGATGTAGCAAATTGCTTAATTTTTTAAAAAATTTGAGACAGTGTCTTACTACATAGCCTGTAGGTTGGTCTGAACTCACTAAGTAGACCAAGCTGGTCTGGAACTCATCATGCCTGGCCTTAATCTTGTTTTTTAAGACATTCTCACCGGGTGTTGGTAGCGCATGCCTTTAATCCCAGCAATCGGGAGGCAGAGGCAGGCAGATCTCTGTGAGTTCGAGGCCAGCCTGGTCTACTGAGCGAGTTCCAGGACAGCCTCCAAAACAATGCAGAGTAACCCTGTCTCAAAAAACAAACAAACAAAAAGCCCCCCCCCACAAAAAAAAAAAAGAGACCATTAGGCTAGGCTGGCTAGCTTGTGACGTCAAGAATCCAGCTGCCTCTGTCTCAATAGCACTCAGTGCACCACCACACCCACTACTTTTTTTTTTTGTTGTTTTTGTTTTTTTTACGAGACAGGGTTTCTCTGTGGCTTTGGAGGCTGTCCTGGAACTCGCTTGGTAGTCCAGGCTGGTCTCGAACTCACAGAGATCCGCCTGCCTCTGCCTCCCGAGTGCTGGAATTAAAGGCATGCGCCACCAACTCCCGGATTTTTTTTTTTTTAAGGTGAATTTTAAGGGTTGAACACAGGTTTTTTTTTGTTTGTTTGTTTGTTTTGTTTTTCGAGACAGGGGTTCTCTGTATTGTTTTGGAGGCTGTCCTGGAACTCGCTCTGTAGACCAGGCTGGCCTCTAACTCACAGAGATCTGCCTGTCTCTGCCTCCCGAGTGCTGGGATTAAAGGCATGTGCCACTAACGCTGGCTTGAACACAGGTTGTTATGCTTACAAAGGCGTGTACAGACTGAGCTCTCTCCTGGGCCCTAAGAGTTCTTCCTTTTTTCTACTGTTAGAGCTTTGTTTTATTTTTATTTATGTGACCAGAAAAGGGCACTGGATCCCTGGAGCTAAAAAGTTAAGGACATCAGCTGAATTAGTTCTGAAAGAACAGGAAGTATGCTTAACTGCCAAGGCGTCTCCGCAAAAACCCCCCAACCCAGCCTATTATTTCTAAGGATTTCTAAGTAAAAGCTGATATTAAGTAAAACACTTATGATTGTAATCCTCTTGTGACAGAAATGGAATCAAAGCACTAGGAAGGTCATTAATTTTAGAATAAGGTCTAACCTTCAAGTCATATCTATTTAATTTTAATAATATCTCCGACTCAAACCTTCAAATCATATCTATTTAATTTTAATAATATCTCTGACCCACTTTTCTTCTGTGAGGACCTGTCATGGAATAATGTTGATTATTAGGTAAGAACTATTGCTCTGAGTTATCAATTAAAGTCACTTTAGACATTTATAGGTTGCTTGTTTTTGTTTTTAGAAAAGTTCTCAGGTAGCCCAGGCTATTCTTGAACTTATTATGTAGCCAAGGATGGCTTTAAACTCCTCCTTCCCTACTATTGAGATGACAGGTGTACATCACCACAGCCAGTTAGATATTTTATGTGTTGCCATAACTGAGAAACAGCACCATCCCTGAGCAGGAGCACACAACATGGTCCCAGGACCAGCAGCAGGAACATCCTTTGCCAATCCATTCGAAATGCAGACTCACAGGCCCTAGGCTAGGTTACTGACATCAGAACTTTGGGAACAGTGTCCCCTCATCCATGAGGGTCTTCTAGGTGAACTCAATCAACAGCCATCTAGATGACAGCTTGAGAACCACAGTGTAGAGATCAGAGGTGAGTTTCTGTCCCTCATTAGCTGCAACCTTGTGAGTCACAACATCTGCACTTCTAAATGCCTCTGCATATAACAGATACAATCACTCACTACAGCCTAAGGTGGTTTTGAAAGTCCATGTGAAAGCTCCCCAAATTCCCCAGAGCTAAGTCAGGAGGACATCATCCATTAACGCTTCGATATCATCATGATCTTCATCCTGTTCTACTCCAACCTGTCTGTCCAACATTGCTCTTGAAGCATGAGAAGGTTCTAGTCACTCCACCCAGCTGAGTGACATTAGAGTCTTAATGAATATACTTTATTCATTATTTGTGCAATCATTAACAAGAATTTTAAGCAGGGGCAAGCTTAATATTGCTCTGCCTGAAAATTTTTACTTTCATTAGCTCTGAAAAACTTATCAGTAGCAGTTTATCCTATTTCCCCCCTTTCTGAAAAATTCATGTATGAAGTGTAATTATGATAGGAAAATAGATGTAACCAACACTTTAGGAAAATGCAAAATAATTTACTAAGCCCATAAACATACTGATATACTTCCTTGCTCATTTTAGAGTAGTCCTGAGGGTTGAAGTCAGGGCCTATCACACGCTAGGCCAGCACTACACCCGCACGCAGGCATGCACACGCACCAGCTCTAACTCTTGCTCTCATTGTTCTTTAACATTCTGAGTCAGAATCTCACTAAATTCCAGACTGGCTATGAAGGTCTTGAATTTATAATCCTGAGTAGTTGAGATCATAGGCCTGTTCTATAAAGCCTGGATTCCTTTGCTATCATAAAAAAATTATCAATCTATTTATCTAATTTTGAGAGAGGATCTAATCTGTCTGTCTGTCTATCTATCTTTGAGACAGGATTTACAGACTCCGAGCTAGAACTTGCTATGCAGACCAGGGCAACCTCAACTTTGGCAAATTCCTATTTCTAGTTCCTCAGTTTACAGTCTGTTACCTACCATACTTGGCAAGAGTAGCATTTTAATTCTCCCCGAGATAAAACATGATGTTATCAGTACAACTTAAATACCTCTGTAGTTCCCATGAAGATACTATACTGGACACTGAATCACAAGTTAAAACATTAGACAAAACCATCATTTTAGCTACTAGACTTATGTTTAAAGTAGGCAATGGTAGTTTAAAGTAGATGAGACAATTCACCTTGCCCCTTGTAAATGTGCCATTATTCTAATTTTCTCAATGAGATCAAAGGTATTTCCAAGATGGTTAAGTTTGTTTTTGCCTTCAATATCAACTATATGTCATGGATTTTTGTTATGATATCCTTGGTCCTGATTCTCCTGCCTCTGCCACCTCAGCACTTCCCAAATGTCACCAATGCCTAGTGCTAGGGGATATTCTTTTTAAATGTTCAAAATTGCAATTATCAAGTACAGTAAATAAGCTATGCTAAAGTTAGCTTTGTAATACTTATATAACATACTAATTTCCCCATATTTCAACTTAATTCTGATGTTTCTAATGCATGGCCATTTGAGTCTTATTCTTTTTTTTTTTTTGGTTTTTACGAGACAGGGTTTCTCTGCATTGTTTTGGAGGCTATCGGTCCAGCCCAGCCTGGAACTCACAGAGATCCGCCTGCCTCTGCCTCCCAAGTGCTGGGGTTAAAGGCGTGCGCCACCACCGCCCGGCTTGAGTCTTATTCTTAAAATCTCTTTTTTTTTTTCTTTTTTGAGACAGGGTTTCTCTGTGTAACAGCTCTGGCTGTCCTGAAACTCATTTTGAAGACCAGGTTGGCCTTGAACTCACAGAGATCTATCTGCATCTGCCTCCCAAGTGCTGGGATTAAAGGCATGTGCCACCACCACCTGGCTCTAAAACTTTTTTCTATATTGAGAATATTCAAAGAGATGAGTTAGAAAACTCTTTCACAGACCAAATCAGTAATCTAGTAGTCATTCAATAAACTAATTATCCAAAACCCAAACACAAAATCTGAAGACTTACCAATGACAGGGTTGCTGTTTCTGTGAGCTGGTTTAGGGGGTGGGATGGGGGGTTGCTTGGCAGGGGCCGTATGAGTAAAACTCAGGGTGGCAGTAGTGTTAGTGCTGGCAGGAGCAGCAGGCAGAGTCCTGGGGGCTGGGGCTGGGGTGACAAAGGAACTGACAGTCTTTGTTATGTCTGCTGCAGCAGGGGTGACAGCAGGTGTTGTGGTAGCAGAGGCAGAAGGGGAAGGGATGGACCTTGACGCACTGCCAGGCATGGCCACCTCCTTTGCTTGCCCTTCGCTTGCTTCGTAAGAAGAGGACGAGGGTCTTTTTGAGGGGAACAAAGGCTGCTTAGGTACATGCTCAGGAGCAGACTCTGCTTCAGAGTTAGGATGGCTTCCAGTTGAGCCTGTGTAATAAAAGTTATGATTTAAAAAGGAAGAGAGACTGAAAATGTGAACACATTACAACCAACTTCATCAGTGAATTTACAGACTTTCCAGCTACCTTCAATGCGTGTCCATAAGTGAGGCTCAGAAAGGGTAGTCATGTTTCATACAAAAGTCTACTACCAAGGATGTATCAGGCAAGTGCCTGCCACACAAGCATGAGGACTGAGTTCAGATCTCTACTGTTGTGTGACACTTTGATTATATTCTGACAATCCTGAGACTGACAATAAAGTTTGTTTTGAATCAGAGGGTGGAGCTAGCTACTAGATGACCAAAAGTAGCCATACAGGTTTCAGAGAACTGAGGACAGATAGGCACAGGAAGTAGTAGGGTGGAGCTTATAAAGGGTCTTGACCCTTTTGGATGGAGGAATGAAAGAAGACAGGCAATCACTGGTCACTTTTCTGATCATTTAGGCTCTTACCCTGATATCTGACTGCTAAATTTTTATTGATAAGAATAATTAGGTAAATGCCTCACCCCACATTTACATAAAAGCTAGGTTCTAACCCTAGTGCTGTGCTGGGGATGAAATAGAGACAAGATCACTGGAGCTTACTGGCCATCCATTCTAGCCAAGCAGCGAGCCCTGGGTTCAGTAAGAGATGCTATCTCAAAATAAATAAATAAGCTGGGTAGCAGTGGTGCACACCTTTAATCCCAGCACTCAGGAGGCAGAGGCAAACAAATCTCTGAGTTAGAGGCCAGCCTGGTCTACACAATAAGTTCCAGGACAGCCAAGGCTACACAGAGAAACCATGCCTTGAAAAATAAAAATTAAATTCAATTAAAAAATAAATAAAAATAAATTTTAACTCCCCCCAAAAGGGAAAAAAAGTGGAGAGCAAAAGGAGACGGCAATGCCAACTTTTGGTACCCACATGTGTATGGACCTGCACCCATGAAAGCACACACAAAATTCCTTGGGAGAACACGAATGTGGAGCTTGACAAAATCCTACAAAAGGGCTAAGTGTGATGGCTCACATCTGAAACCCAGCACGTGGGAGGCTAAAGCAGGAAGGTCACCATGAGATCAAGGCCAGCTTGAGGTACAAAGTGAGCCTCTGTGTCAAAGACTGAAGGTGGAGAGATGGGTATGGTGGCCTATGACTTTAATCCCAGAACTCGGGATCTCTTTCAGTTTGAGGCCAGCCTGGTCTACACATAGAGACAATCTCAAACCAAACAGAGAAAAAAGAAAGGAATAGGGAAAGAATCATAAATTTTGGAATTTGAGGAAAGGCTGTGAGTACCAAGGAGACAAGACTGTAGTTTCTCAAGAATACAACTCCCCCGGCCCCCCCAACTGACTTCTCTTGCAACCCTTTGAGGTAAATGAGAACAGGGTGGCTTTCAAACTCAAAACCCACTTTTACCTAGTCTCTTTTTTGAATCCTCTTCTGGATTAAGATCCCGAAGGCTTGATATTCTCACCGGCTCTTCTTCCTCTAGGACTGGACTAGAAGATCTGGCACTCCCTATGGGGGCAGTGTGGCCATTCTTTAATGTGGCATGGCCCAGCTTTCCAGGATCCTCAGCACCTGCAAGAAGAAACAGAAGAGCACCAAGTGATGGACCTGGCGTGGTCAGATAGAATGAGCAGGTGGTTTCTAATCATTCTTAACGCCTTTTCTCTAATGAATAGGGTTCTCATTGAAATTTGTATTATCTGGAGCCTCACAGTATTAACATAAGTAAGTAGTTCCTCTTCCAAAAGGTAATTAATTGTCAACTACATCAAGTAACTTGCTGCATAAATAATCTATTATACATATATACATGTCACAATGTTAAGGTGGGGGTTATAGCTCAGTGGTAGAATACTTGCCTAGCATATGTAAGGCCCTATGGCCAATACCAGTACTGAGGAGGAAAAGGACACTTGTGGGGAAAAGGCTATGGTAAAAAACGAAGAAAACTCATTTTTCTGGGGTGGGAAAGGGTTTGGGGAACCACACAGAAATCGGTATGTTCTGAAAGAGGAACAGAAGCCTACCACATTGATGAAAGATAGTCTATTTACATGAAGACAATAGGTAGGAGGGGCTGGAAAGATGGTTCAGTTCCCAGCATCCCTGCTAGGCAGCTCACAACAACCAGCAACTACAGCTCCAGGGGATCTTACACATCTGACCTATGCAGGCATCTGCACTCATAAGCACACCTCCCTGACACCGACATATACACATAACTTAAAAAAATAAGTCTTTTTAAAAAGAAGCAATAGTATAAATAAAGGCATAAAATTATGAGCAGGGACTAGCAATGAGTGTAGTATGGTTATGAGTAGGACTGTAATGGTTATGAGTAGGCAAGCAAGGGCCAGGCTATGAAGACTATTAAACACACATAAAGAAGCTAGAAATAAATCCTGGATGAAACCAAAGCTCAAGCATTAGAAGGCGCAGGAAGGTGTAATGTTAAAGGTTGGCTCTCAAAGCTGTTAGAAGGAAGGGTTATAGACAGGCAGTGACTGAACAGGAAAAGCAAGAGAAACCACTGTTTTAATGTACATGAAAAAATACCAGAGGGTGACTGAGGGTAGTAGGAGTGGAGAGCCTGGGGGCATGAAGGATAAATCCATGATAACATGATATATACAGTGATTCCCTACATACTAAACTTAAACTACAAAGATGGCCATTAGCCCGGAGATGGTAGGAAGCCCTGTGATTATCACACACTGCTATGGAAAAGGAAAGTGAGATCCTTTCATGGAGTAATTAGACAAACATCCCCAGTGCCTGAAGTTTTCCTAGACTTATTTAGAAGACAAAGCTGAAAATAGTGAGGTCAGGTCAGGGGCTGGAGAGATGGCTCATTGGTTAAGAATACTGGGTCCTCTTCCAGAGGACCTAAGTTCAAACATTCCCAGCACTCACATGGGAGCTCACAACTGTCTATAACCCAGTTCCAGGTGATCCAATATACTCTTCTGATCTCCAATGTCACAAGGCACGCAAATGGTACACAGACATACATTTAAGTACAACACCCATACACATAATAAAGAAATATAACTATGTTTAAAAAGGGGGTGGGTGGGTTGGAGAGATGGCTCAGAGGATGGAGAGATGGCTCAGCAGTTAAGAGCACTGACTGCTCTTCCAGAGGTCCTCAGTTCAATTCCCAGCAACCACAAGGTGGATCACAATCATCTATAATGAGATCTGGTGCTCTTTTCTGGCAAGTAGGCATACACGCAGACAAAACACTATATACATAATAAATAAATTTGAGAGAGAGAGAGAGAGAGAGAGAAAGAGAGAGAGAGAGAGAGAGAGAGGGAGGGAGGGAGAGGGAGGGAGGAGACGAACAATAAGGTCAGAGACAAGACAGTCTCACTTCCATGCCACAGGGCAGTGCTAGTGTCCTTCCTTGCTTTCCACAGTAATGCTGAAAGTAACATCATTTAAAGACTTGTTTTATTTAATTTGTGTGTACACATACATGTATGCTCATTTCTTGATATTTTTAGAGTTAGTCCAATAACTCACAGACCAGCTCCTCCCACCCAACACATCACTGCCCACTAAGAGATTAGATGGTATCCTTCAAGCCCGTCCAGTAAGCAGTAGAGTTTGGACTAGAAGTGTTGAAGAAAAGACAAGTAATAAAATGTCCCTCTAAAGCTAAAGAAACCATAAAGCATTTTTACTTAATTAGTTGTTTTAAGGCTAGAGCTCATACTCAGCCTAGACTAACGTTGAATTGGATTGAGCTGGCTATGACTCCAAGTGTTTGTTGGATTATAGGTGTGACAAATCACACCTTGGTGTATTTTTATTAAATTAATTAATTGGTTGATTATTAAACTAGCCTTTCCAGACAGAGTCTTACTATGTATCCCTGGCTGGCCTAGAGCTCTCTATATATACCAGGCTGCTTTCTAATCTAGTAATTCTCCTGACTCAGCCTCCAGAGATTATAGGTACGTACCACTATACCATCACTGTGTATCCCCAGCTGGTCTAGCCACTGTAGATCAGGTTGGCTTAGAACTCACAGAGACCTGCCTGCCTCTGACTTCCAAGTGCTGGGACTAAAGGTTTGTGCTACCATGTCTGGCTTTTAATTTATTTTTAAAAATTATTATATTTATTAATGGATGTACGTACACATGGGTACGTATGTGTCATGGCTCATATGTCTTAGAGCGCATACTGAAATCAGAAGACAGCTGTGGCTATCATTCTCTGTGGGTACCTTTACTTCTGAGCCATCTCTCTAGCTATGTACTTCTAATTTTATTATTTAAAATTTTTGTTTGTTTTGTTTTTTTGAGACAGGGTCTCTCTGTGTATCTCTGATTGTCCTGGAACACACTCTGTAGACCAGGCTGACCTCAAACTCAGAGACCCACTTGCCTCTGCCTCCACCTACTCTGCTGGGATTAAAGGAGGATGCCACCACTACCGGGATAATTTTTTAAATCTTTTGTCATTGTTGGTTTAAGTGTCTTAGTGTTTTGTCTGCATGTATGTATACCACATGCTTGCCTAATGTAAGAGGAAGCCAGAAGAAGGTGCTAGGTCACTTGGAACTGGAGTTACAGATGGCTGTGAGATACTATGTAGGTGCTAGGAATTGAATCCAGGTCATCTGTAATAACAGCCAGTACCCTTGACCACTGAGCCATCTTCTTATTTGTAGGAGAGGAAGGGAGCAAGATGGCAATTCAGCAAAAGTAGTGAATTGTTCTGAATATGAAATTAAAGAGAAATTAAGTAAATTAAGGTAGAATACTATGTTTTCCATTTATAATCCACTGCTTCATTACAACCATACAAGACAGTATCAACATCATAACTAGCAATGGGTACTGAAACATCAATGGACGGTCAGTGTAGATGAATATGGAGGCAATTTGGTAAAAGCTACCAACAGGCAATCTGAAATACCTGTCACCGCTGCAGGTGACAAGTCGGAGGAAGACACACACAGAATCTTTGCTCCCAGGACCCTTCACCAGTCATTCTATTTCACAGCTTAAGAGTAAAGCCAGACACCTGGGAAGAAATAGGGAATCATTTTTAAAGTGCTCTTCCACTATAACTACAGTAAGAATAAAAAGCAAAGGAAGGAAATCCAAATACCTAGTGCCCCAGCCAAAGACCACACGTACAGAGACAGCATATGCTGATGGTTTGGAACTCACCCTGCTCAGGGTCTTCCAACAGAACCCCTCTTTTAACCAGCTCTTCTCTTGGTTTTCGCATAGATATTTTTCTCTCTAAAACTAACATTAAATTGGAAAACAGAACTCAGAAATGTGGCAGTTGGAAGGTCAACGTAACTCTTAGCTTTATAAGTATAACAGAATAAGGGGTTCACATTTCTTGTATTCTTCAGGAAAAGAAGGACATTTATAATGTAGCTGAGTGTTATATGTCTATAACCCTAGCACTGGGGAGGTGAAGGCAGGAGGATCAGTTCCAGGACAGCCTCAGCTAGGTAGCAAGTTCTAGACGGCCTCAAACAAAAACAAAAACAAAACAAAAAAAATCACCATTTGAGAGGAAGATGCTGAGGAATACTGCCTAGTTTGAGGCCATTCTATGCTACACAGTACTAGGCCAGCAAAGGCATGGCTAAGCTCTGACCAAAACAAAACAAAATTAATTGCTGGGGCTGGGAGTTAGAGCAAAAGTAGTGATTGCCTAGCATGTTCAAGGCCCTGGGCTCCACACCTAGAACTAGTTATAAAAAACAAACAACAACAAAGCATCTTCATTTATCTTTTCTTGTTTTTCGAGACAGGGTTTCTCTGTATAGTTTTGGAGGCTGTCCTGAACTCACTCTGCAGACCAGGCTAGCCTCGAACTCACAGAGAACCGCCTGCCTCTGCCTTCCGAGTGCTGGGATTAAAGGCATGAGACACCAACGCCTGCCTTTCATTTATTTTATTACCTGTGCTGAGAAAGTATCATTTCCCAAAGAAGCCATACTCACATGTTTGTAGCTTAACTGGGACTTAATGCTGTTGGAACGTGGGCTAAGTGAAAAGACCCCTTAGTCTATCTACTACAGTACAGGTGCCCCACAGTCAACTATGCATCCCAATTCAGTTCTTCCTTTCATTCTTTCGTCCTTTCTTTTCTTTTTCTTTTTCTTTTTTAGGTTTTTCAAGATAGGGTTTCTTTGTATAGCTTTGTAGATCAGGCTGGCCTCAAACTCACAGAGATCTGCCTCCCAAGAGCTGGGATTAAAGGTGTGTATCACTACTCCCTGGCCAGTTGTTTCATTTTCATAAAGGGTCTTACAATGCAGCCCTGACTGGCCTAGAACTCACTATGTAGAACTCACCCCACACTCACGGTAATCCTCACATTCCTGCCTCTCAAGTACTGAGATAACAGGTGTACAACACTAAATTTGTCCTTACTGAACAGATTTAATCCCATAAAATACAAACTTCAGAATGAGGCTACAGAATATAAGTGCCAGCTAGGCTTGCTCAAACAGGCCTGTAAATTTCAGTTATTCCAAAGGCTGAGACAGGAAGATTGTCATGGTTAATTCAAGGCAGTGAGAACCTGCACCAAAAAATAGATGGGGGGGGAGCTGGAGAGATGGCTCAGTGGATAACAGTACTTGTGCCAAGCTTAATAGATGGAGTTTAACTCCTGGAACCCACATGGTGGAAGGAGAGAACAGACTTTGCAAATTGTATTAGATTTCCCCAACAAACAAACAAACAAACAATAGTTTAAAAAATAACAACTACTAGACATCATGGTTCATACCAAAGCACTGGGAGGTTAAGGCACGATAAGTGCTACAATCCCAGGCAAGAAAATGACTAACAGGCCAATAGAAGTTCTGCTAAAACAAAACAAAACAAAAACACCACCAAACAGAAAAAGATGGCTGGGGTTGTAGGTCAGTGGTAGAGCATTTGCCTAGCCTAGTATGCTTCATGCCTTAGGTTCATAGGTTTAACCCTCAATACAAAATGCAAAAGAGAGTAAAGGCTCACTATAGGATCATTCGTCAGTCTAAATCTAAAAGAACGAACACTTCAAGTAGGAGGTTGTAGAAATTTACGGAAAAATGAAAAAGTTGGGTGCTTCTAAAATAGGAAATTCAGCCAGACGTTGGTGGTGCACGCCTTTAATCCCAGCACTTGGGTGGCAGAGGCAGGCGGATCTCTGAGTTCGAGGCCAGCCTGGTCTACAGAGCAAGTTCCAGGACAGCCTCCAAAGCCACAGAGAAACCCTGTCTGGAAAAACCAATAAATAAATAAATAAAATAGGAAACTCAGGACTGGAAAGACAGCTCAGAGGTTAAGAGCACTGACAGTTCTTCCAAAGGACACAGGTTCAATTTCCAGCACCTACCTGGCAACTTACAACTGTCTGTAACTCCAATATCAGACACCCTCACACAGACAAACATGAAGGCAAAACACCAATGCACATAAAACAAAAATTAAAGAAAAAAAAAGGAAACTCAGTTGGTAGAGTATGTTATTGTTTGTCTCATATAACCCAGACTGACTTTGAATTTTCTGTGGGGCCAAAGATAACCTTAAATTCTTCATCCCCCTGCCTCTACTTTCCAAGAGCTGGGATTACAGTCTGCACCACCAAGCCCAGCTAAATCAGGGAATTATTCTTTTTTATGTGTGTGTACAATTTGTATGTATATGCGTGCAAGCACACTAGGGCAAAAGCATAGCATGGAAATGCATGTGAAGGTCAAAGGTCAACCTCCAGTATCAGTTCTCACCTACTTTGATTGAGACAGGGTCTAGTGGGTTTGTTTGCCTTTTCCCCACTGCCTGCCAGCTGGCCTCAGGTTTCTGGTGATTCTGTCTCAGCCTTCATCTTCCCACAGAAGCACTGGCTTATAATAGTATGTGTATCAAATCTGGCTCTCTGTGGGTTCCAACTCAGGTCCTAAGGGCTTTACCTCCTCAGCACAAGCAGGGGACTTTTAAAATTAGAAGCCATGTTTATTTATTTATTTTTTTGAAGCAAGGTCTCATGGTTGTTGCCGAGGTTGGCCTGAAACTCAGTATCTGACTAAGAATGACCTTGAGCTTCTGACCCTTGGATTTCTGACCCTCCCTTCTGCGGGGACTGCACAAGCACACCTCTGGATATCAGGGAAGAGCTCAGGGCTTTACTCAAACTAGGCAAGCACTCCACCCTCACCCCTGAGAACACATATTTAAATCTTAGCATCTTACCTTCTGATGTCTCTTTAAATTTATCACTACTTTTTTTTTTCCTCCATTTCCACGGCTTGAAAATTTTGCCAAAACCTGAGAACTTGCTTTTTCTTTTGGTGGGAGGTGTTGTGTCCCCTGCTTCCACACTGTCCATGACCATGCTTGGCTCTCCTGAGGGCTGCTCTGCTTCTTCTGTACATGGAGGAGACCAAGAAGAAACACTTTATTATTTCTGTATAAACGCTAAAAATGTTCCCTTCTTCCTGTTGCAGTTGGAAAGGATCTGGGCAATGATAAACACCATGCGGATGAGTACCTCTGAAAATCGCATGGGCAGCAAAGGCCCAAATTTACAACTTTGATCACTATCGGAGCCAAACGAACCCTGCCATCGTTTAAGAGAAAAATTCAGGGAGATGATGAGTACCACAAGGTTAACATCTTTAACACACACAACATACATGTCTTCTCCTTATGCATGAGTTCTATATCCCTGAAGCAGGGAATTCTACCACTAAGGAGTCACTGTCAACTATTACCCCCTCCCAGCAGTTTGCAGGATTGAAATAGTTGAGGGAAGGGCACTTCATCAAGTGTTGACACCTTGGACCTGTTAATCCGATCTCCCCACAATAAAAAGGGCTCTGCATAACTACGGAAGACTGGGAGTAGTCTAAGGTGGGGAAGAGGCATTAGAGAGAATATGTTTTGAAACAAATGGAAATAGGGGAGAGCAGAGGTGAAATTCTACTTTGCCATCACCTTATTATTTAGAGAAAACCATGATATTAAAGATTTGACACAAAACATAGCTGACACGCTACAAGTTCATGACTGAGATCAAAGGTCTTGAGGGCCTCATAATGACAACATGTGCAAGGCTTTAATGGTAGCAAAAGGAGCAGCCAAGGGGCGGGGCAGGAAGGCAACAAAAAAAGCAGGAAAGCAACACAATGCAGCCTTGCACTCCACCTACTATCCCAGAGTTCTCTGGAGAAGTCTAAAGGAAAGAAAAGGCTCCGTGGACTCACTCCTGGGATCAAGCTGCCATCGCTACGTCACAGAAATAATCAATACGCATATTTGTAAACTGTTTCATATTAGAAGCAAACAATGTTTGAGGGCAGAAGAGTTCAACATATGTGCTGAAAAGAATTATCTCCTTTTTTTTTTTTTTTTGGTTTTTCGAGATAGGGTTTCTCTGTATTGTTTTGGAGGCTGTCCTGGAACTCGCTCTGTAGACCAGGCTGGCCTCGAACTCACAAGAGATCCACCTGCCTCTGCCTCCCGAGTGCTGGGATTAAAGGCAAGTGCCACCAACGCCCAAGAATTATCTCCTATTAACACTGTAGGTTTGTGTTATTGTTACTTTTCAATTACTGCCTCCTGCCCCCAACACACACAGGGTTTCTCAGAGTAGCTTTGGCTTGCTGTCCAGGAATTTACTTGTAGACCAGACTGGCCTCAGACTCACAGAGATCCTCCTGCCTCTGCCTCCCAAACACTGGGACTGAAGGTGTGCACTACCACTGCCTGGCAGAACAGTGTTTTCTTTGCTTCTCTCTTCAAAACTGACCTAATTTTGTCAAATGTTTTAGAAGAACTGAACCTTGCTTCACGAAGTGGGTGAAACCACACCCTACCCTACAATTCATATTTTCCAATTTGTTCATCTACATTAATATTTACTTATTCATCTATCTATTTTTGCTTGTTTTATGTGATAGGGCCTTAAGTAGCCTAGGCTGGCTTTGAATTCATTTGCAGCTGAGGAAGACCTTAAACTCCTGATTCTCCAAGGTCTTGCCCTCAAATGCAGGATTACAGGTGTGAGCCACAACATCCGGCTTCATTCATATTTCTATTCTTCCTCCTCCTCGCCCCTCCCTACTCTCAATGACAAACTGCATATTATTTGAGTGACTCACATGTCTGTCCAAATATTTAGAATCAGCCCAACTGCCTTTATAATATACAGGAACTCTAGGAAGTGGGACCACGAGTCCTTTTAAAAACTCTCCAGCCAGGTGTGTTGGCACCCGCCTATAATCTTAGCACCCACGAGGCTACAGAGTGAAGCCCTGTCTCAGAAGAACAAGGCAGGGCTGAAGCTCTTAAGTGAGTGTGGCATTGGCACAAGGCCCTGCATGCAGCTGAGAAAAAAAAAAAAAAACACCTTAAATATCAAGTTTGTTACTCCAGTCCCAGATTAAGATCTGGAAACCTCACACATGTTAAAAGAGACAGAGGCAGAGGCAGACTTTTTCTGGCTCAAACTTACGCCTTTGTTGAACAAGCTACAAGATGCCATGTAGCAGTGCTTCTGCTCCGCAAGGCGTTCCTGAGTGTGTGTGTGTGTGTGTGTGTGTGTGTGTGTGTGTGTGTGTGTGTGTGTGTGCGCCCCTGTGCTTCCTAGCCTCACTCACACGCAGTTCAATTAAAAGGAAGCATAGGCATATTTTGTTTGTTTGAGGCTTTTGTTTGCTTTTTGAAACAGGGTCTCTCTGTGTAGTCCTGGCTATCCTGTAACTCTATATAGATCAGTGGTTCTCAACCGATGGGTCTCAACCTCTTTGGAGGGGTCAAATGACTCTTTTACCTAAGACCCTGTGAGCAAAATTACAGTTATGAAGTAGCAAAAAAACTAATTTTATGGTTAGGGCTCACCACAACATGAGAAATTATATTGAAGAGTCAAAGCATTAGGAAAATCGAGAACTACTGTTGAAGATCAAGCTTGTCTCAAACTCACAGTGATCTGCCCACCTCTGCTTCCAAAGTGCTGGGATTTTGGAGACAGAGTCTCATCATGTGGCTGAGGTTGGCCTTGAATTCTAGAATCTTTTGTGACAACCTTCTAAGTACCAGGATTACAGGCATATGCTACCTTCTTCATTCTTTCTTTTTTCTTCTGTTGTACTGGGGATTGAACCTAAGGCCCTGTGTTTGATACTCAGGTGGTCTATACCTATACCTATACCCTTACTTTGTTTAATTTTAGCATTTTAAAAATGTGTGACAAGGCTGGAGGGATAGCTTACTTGCTTCTTTTCCAGAGGGCACAAGCTTGATTCCTAGCACCCACATGGTAGCTCACACCACTCTGTATCTCTAGTCTCAGGGGATCTGATGCCCTCTCCTGGCCTCTTTGGGTAACAGACCCACAAAAGTACACAAATATATACGTAGACAAAACATACATACACATAAAATTTTTTAAAAATTAATTTGTGACAAAATGGGGATATATACTGAAATTGCTGTAATTTCAAAGTCTACCATGCTGTTTATTAATTTATTTAATTTTGGATTTTTTTTTCTGAGACAGGGTTTCTCTGTATTGTTTTGGAAGCTATCCTGGAACTCGCTCTGTAGACCAGGCTGGTCTCGAACTCACAGAGATCCCCCCTGCCTCTGCCTCTCGAGTACTGGGATTAAAGGCATACGCCACCAACTCCTGGCTCTTATTTTAGTTTTTTATATTTACTCTTCTCACATACTTCACAACTGAACTGCAGTCTCTCTCTTCCACTCTTCCCACCCCCCCTTCTACCCTCTCCCCCAGATCTACTTTTTATTTTAATTCTTAATCTGAAATCTTAATATGTCTCATTATAACTTCTGGTTTCATTGAATAACAAAAGCATACACATCTGTAACCCCAGCATTTGAGAGGCCAAATTAAGATCAAATGTTCAAGGCCATCTAAGCATATAAAACCGTATCAAAAAGCAAAACAAAAACTAAACAGCAACAACAAAACACATACCAAAATGCAATGTGCATAACTGACATACAATTCTGATAATTCTGATGACCTGAGTTTGATCGATGAGACCTGCATGGTAGAAAAGAACAGAGTGCTGGGATTAAAGGCATGTGCCACCACTGCCCGGCTTGATTTGATTTTTTTTTAATTTTAATGTTTTCTTGTTTTGTTTTTTGTTTGAAACAGGGTTTCTCTATGGAGCCCTTGGCTGTCCTTGAACTTGCTCTGTAGACCAGGCAGGCCTTGAACTCAGAGATCAACTTGCCTCTGTCTCCTGAATGCTGGGATTAAAAGTATATACCATTAAGCCGGATGGTGGTGGCACACCTTTAATCCCAGCACTTGGGAGGCAGAGGCAGGAGGATCTCTGTGAATTCAAGGCCAGCCTGGTCTAGAGTTCCAGGACAGCTTCCAAAACAATACAGAGAAACCCTGTCTTGAAAAACAAAAAACAAAAAAGTGTATATCATTAATGTGTACCTCTGTCTCTGTCTGTCTGTCTGTGTCTGTCTGTCTGTCTGTCTGTCTGTCTGTCTGTCTCTCTCTCTCTCTCTCTCTCTCTCTCACACACACACACACACACACACACATTTATTTTTAACCAAAGAGAGGATGTAGGGCTTCACCTACAAAGTCAGTAAGTGATGGAATTGGCTGTGCAAGCCTGATGAGATAAGTTTTATCCTCGGAACCCATGGCTGGAAAAGACTCTACTCCTTCAAACTGACCTCCAAACACATGCCATAGCATAAAAGATACTCCCTGCCCCAATAATAAGTAAATTATTTAAATAAAGTAAGTAATTAGAAAAAGACACTAAAAGTTGGCCATGGTAGTACATGCCTATACTTCAAACACTTCAAAAACTCAAGCAGAAGGTTAGCTGTGTCTTTGAGATCTAGCCTAGGGTACATGGTGAGTTCAAAGTCTGGACTTCATAGCAGAGACTTTATCTCAAAAGAACAAAACCAAGCCATACCTTTTAACACTTTGCATCTTCAGGTGTTCACTATTTGTAAATTATATATACATAACTAAATACATACTACATATAACTAAATATACTACACATAACTAAAGAAAGAAAACAACAGGATTAAATAATACACCCTAGATCAAAGACTATATAATCTTACATATTCCTATTTTGGTAGTAACAGAGTTTGAAACCAAGGTCCTATATGGTAGGGAAGCATTCTACCAATAAACTGTATCCCTAGCTTCTTTCCCTGTATTTTGGGACAAGGCCACACTTGCCCAGACTGGCCTTGAGCTCACTCTCATCTCAGCTTCCAGAGTACTTGGTCTTACATGTGTATAGCATCACACTTGGTCTACAACCAACTCTTACTCACCTATGTTGGACAGCCAAGTATAAGTATAACTAGGGCCGGGCGGTGGTGGCGCATGCCTTTAATCCCAGCACTCGGGAGGCAGAGGCAGGCGGATCTCTGTGAGTTCGAGGCCGGGCTGGACCGATAGCCTCCGAAACAATACAGAGAAACCCTGTCTCGTAAAAACAAAAAAAAAACAAACAAACAAAAAAAAAAGTATAACCAGGAAACAAAAATCCACAGAAAACAAACCTTCAACATTCCTTGACTAGATTTATTAAAAAATGACTAAATTGCCTGATTTATTTGAATTTCACACCTATAATTTGTACCTTACCAATTTTTAAAATTGCCATAAATTGTCGAGTCTTCCCTATCACCTCACCCCTGACACTTGTTTTATATGAGTGTATGTGTGCATGCAGATGCCAGGGCTCATGTATGGGCAGAGGACAATTTGAAGGAGTTTGTTTTCCCCTTTTTTCTTTTTCTTTTGATTTTCCAAAACAGAGTTTCCCTGTGTAGCCCTTGCTGTCCCAAGTGACCTTGAACTCACAGAGATTTGCCTATTTCTGCCTGCCGAGTGCTGGCATTAGAGGGGGTGCCGCCACTGCAGGCTTGGTTCCACGGTCAGTCTCAGGTCATCAGGCTCGGGCAACGAGCACCTTTACTAGCTGGGCAATGCTTTTGACCCTTTCAGCTTTTGTTTCGTTTTTTTTTAAAGACAGGGTCTCACTTCCAAACCTGGCTGGCCTGAAACTTAATACTATCCTCCTGCCTCAGCCTTCCAAACTTTGCACATAGCATAATTTATGATACTTTGCCACAGTACTTAACATTTTTTGTTCTCTAAAAGAGGCTTATTGTTGGATTTAAGGAATAGTTTCAGAAAACTGCAACAAAATAACAGAAAGCAAAAATTTTCACTAATGAACAAAGCAGCCTTTGTACAGAGAAGGCCTTGGATTTATGGAACTCTCGCACAGCCTTGACCATGGGATTAGAAAGCATTTGACTGAGGGGAGATAGATACTATCTCTGAACTTAAGTGAAGGCAGATCTGACTCTGTCTCAGGAAAAATGTATTTTAGCCACAACTGCAGCAAGAAGGAGGCAACCTGGGGTGGGGGGTGTCAGCTGATAGCTTACAAGGGCTAGCACCAGAGAAAATGACAACTGTGTTACAGCTCAGCAAATGACATGTGCCTGACTAGGGACCACGGGGGCTTGGGTTTGGATCCCCAGCACCCATGTAAAGGGCAGCATGGCAATTTGATAGGGGTGTAGAGTCAATAGGACCCTGAAGCCCATTAGCCAGCTAGTCTGCCCAGGTTTAGGAAAAGATCCTGTCTTAATAAATAAGATAGAAGGGCCGGTGAGATTTTGCATAGTATGAAAGTATTTGTCACACAGCCTAATAACCTGAGTTCAATCCCTAGAACTCACAGTGGGAAAGAACTGACTCCTGCCGGGCAGTGGTGTACACGCCTTTAATCCCAGCACTCAGGGGGCAGAGGCATGCCTGTGAGTTGAGGCCAGCCTGGTCTACAAGAGATGGTTCCAGTTCGAGAACTGATAGCCTCCGAAACTTATACAGAGAAACCTTGTCTCGTAAAAACCAAAAAAAAAAAAAAAAAAAAAAAAAAGAGAGAGAGATGGTTCCAGGACAGCCTCCAAAACCACAGAGAAACCCTGTCTCAAAACAAAAAGCAAAACAAAAAAAAAAAAACAAAAAAAAGAACTGACTCCTGAAAGTTGTTCTCTGACCCCTCCACACATGCACTGTGGCATGCATGCATTACATTCATGTATCACACACACACACACACACACACACACACACACACACACACACTTTAATGTGTTTTATTAAAAGGGGGGAGGAGAGACTAGTATGGTGGCACCTGCCTTTAATCTCAGCATTTGGGAGGCAGAGGTAGGCAAATCTCTGTAGGTCTGAGGCCAGGCTGGTCTACATAGGGATTTCCAAGCCAGCCAGGCCTACAAAGTGAGACCTGGTCTTTTGTCTGCATGTTTTGAGACAAAGTGTCTATCTTAGCTAGGGTTTTTGTTGCTGTGAAGAGACACCATGACTATGGCAACTATTATAAAGGAAAACATTTAATTGGGGCTAGCTTACAGTTCAGAAGTTTAGTCTACTGTCATCAAGGTAGAAAGCATGGTGGCATGCAGGCAGATGTGGTGCTGGAACTGAGAGTCCTATGTCTTGCAGGCAACAGGAAGTCAACTGACTGTCACACTGAGGGAAGCTTGAGCAAGAGAGACCTCAAAGCTGCCCCACAGTGACACACTTCCTTCAACAAGGCCACACCTCCTAGTAGTGCCACTCCCTTTGGGGGGCATTTTCTTTCAAACTACCACATATCCCAAACTTCTAGCTCCTCCCCCTTTCAATGATATGTTGTATTTTTGCTTTTAGAGCCAACCTTTTCCTGTATGTGATAAATCACCACTAGTGCATGGCCCACTTTTCCTGTTGTTGTTCTCTGACAAATACAGTGTGGTCTCAAGAAATGGCAGGCTTTGATCCACACCGTGGAAATGAAAGAATTTTAAAGGCATCAAGTTGTTGAGTTGGTATAGTTCGGTAATATGACTTTTTTTCCTTTTTTCTTATAATCCATTTTTAAAAATTTTATGTTTATTGGTGTTTTGCCTGTATGAAGGTGTCAGAAGCCCTGTCACTGGAGTTACAGACAGGTGTGAGCTGCCATGTGGGTGCTGGGGAACCTAGGTCCTCTGGAAGAGCAGCCAGTGCTTTTAACCACTGAGCCATTTCTCCAGCCCTGTGATGTGGCACTCTTTATGAAGAACATCCATTAAACATTATTTAATTGAATTTTTGTGTGTGGGAGATGGGGTCTCCTTAAACCTAGGCTGGCCTAACACTTGCCAAAATGATACTTGAACTGCTGAGCTTCTGGCTTCTGCCTCTAAGTACTAGGGTTACTAACATGTACCCCACTACATCTCTATGGGTTTTGTTGTTGTTGTTTGTTTTTGGTTTTTAGAGGCAGGGTTTCTCTGTGTCCCTAGCTGTCCTGGAACTCACTCTGTAGACTGGGCTGGCCTCAAACTCACAGACATCCACCTGCCTGTGATTCCTTGATATTGGGATTAAAGGTGTACACCACCACTGCCCAGCCCACCTCTGTGTCCTAACTTACTTTCCCAAGCTGCAAAGTGGTCCTAGAGTGTTTCTTATATTTTGCTGTATATCCTTTTCTATAAAACATTTAACTTTTTTTTTTTAACAGTGAAGTACTGAACCGATAGAGTGAACTCAGCCTAGTGGTCAAAGCAAAGCAAGCAACGGGATCAGCTAACTGGAGTCTTCCAATCTGACTGGGTAAGTGTTCTGTCACCCATGTGCTCAGTTTCAGGAAAACCTGAAAAACACTTTCCCTGGGAAATCAGAAACTAAACTGCCACAAATTATGAGACACATTTGAGGCATTACCTGCTTCCTCAAATGATTCTTCTTTTCTTTAGTCACCATCACTTTTTATTTTTGTTTTGTTTTTTTTGAGACAGGGTCTCACTATGTAGCCTTCGCTAGCCTGGAACTCACTGTATAGATCAGGGGAACCTAAAAGCACTGATCCTTCTACCTCTGCCTCCTTGATACTGGGATTAAAGGTGTGTGCCATGCCCATATTAGACTTTTTATTTCTTATCAGAGAAAGAAAACAAAATAAAAATAAGCCAGGCAGTAGTGGCGTATGCCTTTAATCCCAGCACTTGGGAGGCAAAGGCAGGTGGATTTTTGTGAGTTCCAGGACAGCCTGGTCTACAGAGTTAGTGCCAGGACAGAGAAATCTTGTCCCAAAAAAACCAAAACCAAACAAACAAATAAATACAGAACAGATCAAACAGGTTTCCTGGTGCTTCCTAAACAGTACTTTGTTAAGAAATAACCCAGATGCTTTCCCCTACTCGACTTTTTCCAATCTTCTTTCTTAAACCATTTCCCCCAATTTATTATCATCATCAAATACAAAACCCTACAAAGGGAAGAAAATATGCTCACAAAGATGATGGTCAACCTCATCACTTCACACTGCCAACTCTGAGCCATCCTCACAGTCCCCGGCCTGTCAGTCTGAGCTATCCCCGAGACAGGAACACTTCACAAGTTCATAGAGCACAATGTCCTCGGAGGAGCAAACCCTGGTGCAATGGAGAAAGCCCAGAACTGGATTGGGAAAGTTATAATAAGTCTAAAACTCAGACTCAATATTAAAATGGCCTTGTTTTTATAATTAGGCAGTTTTATTTTTAGATCACACATAACAATTGCCTGAACCTGCAAAATACCAGTAAAATACCTCTAAGCTCTACATAACAACTCCTGTAATATTTATTTTCTACAAAGACAAGAATTAACAAGTAGGTAGCTTCCTAGCAATATAATCTAACACACAGAACTCCAGAGAACAAGTAAACAAGATTGTGAGAGGTAAACAAATTTAGCAGAGTGGCAACAACTTAAAAGTTTTCATTCATTTCTCCCAAACATTTATAATTATGCTAAAGTCTTGCATTCCAATTCCTAAGAGACACCAACTTCAGCTGTAAACCTGCCTCGTTCTGCCAAGACATCTATTTTTTTTTTTTTTTTTTTTTTTTTTTTGCCTTCTATTACTCACCAACTGCATCTGGATTTACCGGTCTGGAGACATCAGCTTGCCCCATGATTATAATTGTCTTAGATGTATCCCACAACAGCAAACTGTCCTGGACAAAAGCAAACTTCTCTTAAAAGACAAATCCACACAGGGACCAGCAGTCCAGGATCACCACCAAATGCCAGGAAACAGCACGAGATCTGGAGTTTCTGTTGTCTGTATCCCGGTCACCGGGTACTTGTGGCGCTCACAAATGTCTTCACCCCGGCTTTCTTCACAGAGGAATGCCTGTCATTCCAGAGTGCACAGTGTGTAGAGCTCTAGTGCGGAAGGGGAGGAGACAGCCAACCACATTCTGACTGCCAAGGGCACAGCCCAAAAGCCCACACCTCCTTTTCCTGACTTTGAGGTTGGTAGGAAGCCTCTAGGCTCAAAGCCACAGAAGATAGGGAGCCTGTCTCAAAGTACAGCAGAGACCCTATATCATCAGCGGTGTTCGGAGTAACAGTCGAATGTGGGTAGAAGTCCATTTCAAAGGCATATTTTAGATATGAGCTTACTTGCAAAGAATCTAGTTATTCTAGAATTTCTGTGTTGTATATGGACTGATTATTTGTTACCTCCCCATCCACCCACATTGTAGAACACCTTTCCTGGTGCGCGCGCGCGTGTGTGTGTGTGTGTGTGTGTGTGTGTGTGTGTGTGTTGGGATGAAGAGATGGTTCAGCAGTTAAGAGCATTTGTTGTTCTTACAGAGAACTTGGGTTCCATTCCATACATAGGAGCTCACAACCATTCGTAACTCCAGTTCCAAGGGATCTAATGCCCTCTTCTGACCTCTGTGGGAACCAGGCACAAGAACCACATACATACTTGCAGGCAAAACATACATAAAATAAATCTAAAAAAAAAAAAAAAATATATATATATATATATATACACATATATCCTAAATTCTTTGGAATCTCTAAAGAAAAAAATGTTTATTATTTACCACCATCACTACCACCCCATCCCCCCACGACCCTCACTCCCTCATGCCTTTTTGAGACAGTTTCATGTAGTCTAGGTTAGCCTCAAGCTGGACAATGTAGCCTTGAACGACTGAGCCTCTTGCCTCCACCTCCCAAGCGCTGGGATTTAGGCTTGTACAACTATACTTAGTTTTGCAATGCTGGGATGGAGTCAGGGCTTTTGTGTATACCAGGCACTAGTTCAGAAACTGAGCTACATTTTCATGACATTTATTTATTTGTGTGTGTGTGTACATGCGCACACGCATATGTGATAGTTTCTAGAGCCAGAGAAAGTATGATAGAGGTGAGAAAAAGGAACAAGTATCAAGAAACATTATTGGAAAGACAAAGAACTGATCATCTGCCATACTGAGGTATAAACCAGCACTTGGGAGGTAGAGGCAGAAGATTCTAAGTTCTAAGCTAACCTGAGTTATAAGGTAAAACTATCATACCCAAAGCAAACAATCAAATAAAAAGAATGGATTAGATCAATAGTTCTGAACTTTCCTAATGCTGTGACCTTTTAATACAGTTCCTTATGTTGTGGTGACCCCCCCAATCAATATTTTCATTGCTATATCATAACTATAATTTTGCTGTTATGAATCAAAATGTAAATATCTGTGTTTTCCAATGGTGTTAGGTGAACCCTGTGAAAGGGTCGTTCAACTTCACTTAAAAAAGGGGTCAAGACCCACAGGTTGAGAACCACTGGACTAGGCAAGGGTCTTGGTGTACACACCACCCTGAACTGTAATAATCTTCACACTTCCCTAGTAGTCTAGAAGTTCCTCATGGTCAGGACCACAATGTAGTTATCCTTAAACTACCAATGCCTTATGTGAGTGGCCCAGTGTACATTGGACATGCCACAAGTCTTTAGCAACCTGGACCTCCCACCCCGCAAGCACACTTCATGCATGTTAGGCAGGCATTAAGCTACAGTCACAGAAAGAAACAGAATTAATCTGAAGCTTTGCTTATGGAACATAGAAGCAAAAGATAATGTACATGCCTGCAATCCCAACATTCAGGATGTTGAGGTAGGAGGAATGACAAGTTAAAGGCAGCCAGTGTCATACAACAAGATCCTGTTTCAAATGAAAGCTGGCCATCAGGGCAAAGAGCATGAGCAATGGAGACAGGAAAAAAAATGTGTAGACCACAAATGATTCTATCTTTCCAAATGATCTTGAGAGTTATTAAGAAACTCTCATTTTTGTGACAAAAAAAGTTATGTTCATAATGAATTTTGAAAATTTATTCCTAGCCAGGCATGATGGTATACACCTTGAATCTCAACACTCAGGAGGCAGAGGCAGACAAATGTCTTCAAGTTTGAGGCCATAGTGAGTTCCAGGACAGCCAGAACTACATAAAGAGACCCTGTCCCTGTCTCCAAAAAAAAAAAAAAAAAAAAGACCCTATCTGGAGGTTGAGGAAAAATATATATGGCAATACCCACATCCCATTTGTTTGCACAGGAGGACTGTAAAGAGTCAATAAAAGAGCAGAAATGCCAAGTCCTTCATGTGACAGTAGTGAGGAATTAGGGATCACTTTATTTCATGATTAAATCAGAAAAAAAGAATGAGGGAGCCTGACAGTAGTGGCATACGCCTTTAATCTCAGCACTCGTGAGGCAGAGATAGGCGGATCTCTGTGAGTTTGAGGCCAACCTGGTCTACACAGAGAAACTCTGTCTCAACCCCCCCTCCCCAACACACACAAAAAAAGAATGAGGGTATAGCTGGGAATGGAGATAATTTACATAGTTACAAGGATTAAATCAAGAGAAACACCTACAGTTCACTGACCAGACAGCCTAGCTGAAATAGGGACCTTCAGGTTCAGTAGGAGACTATGTCTTAAATAATAAGACAGAGGCCAGGTGTTGGTGGCGCACGCCTTTAATCCCAGCACTCGGGAGGCAGAGGCAGGCGGATCTCTGTGAGTTCGAGACCAGCCTGGTCTACCAAGCGAGTTCCAGGACAGGACAGCCTCCAAAGCCACAGAGAAACCCTGTCTCGAAAAACCAAAAAAAAAAAAATAATAATAATAATAATAATAAGACAGAGAGCAACAAGCTGGGGCATGGTTCCACACAGGACTGGGGAAGCAGAGGCAGGCAGATTTGAGTTTGAGGCTAGCCTGGTCTACAAAACAAGTTCCAGGACAGCCAGGATACAGAGAGAAACCCTGCCTAGAAATAAACAAACAAAAAAAATCAAAAATAACAAAAAAATAGATGGAAAGCAACAAACGAATATATCTGATATCCGAAGGTGGGTTAACATTGGGCACCAAGTGAAGGTGAGTTAAAGGAGTCCACAGATACCCAGGTAAAGAATTAACTGGTATATATTAACTGGTATATATTTGGGGAGCACTCACACAACGATGGTAAGTAACTGTTGCGGTCTTCTGCTCCTGGTGATGCAGTCGCTGTCCCTCAGGATGCTCTGACCACCACCCAAGAGAGCCAGAGCTAGGCCCCCTTCCTTATAAGGGTCACATGTGCTCACACTGAAGCCACACCCTAAGGTGTAGCCACCACCAAGTCCACTGGTGGGACAAGATGCCACTACAGATACCCCCCTAGGGCACCTGCATGAATACACCACACACACCACACATAAGATGGAGTGTGACAGAGTGAGACATACAATGTCCAACTCTGGCCTCCGTATACATGTACACCCATGTGAGTTTGCATCTGTACCCACACATGCATACATGCATGTGGGTGTTCACACACATAAGAAAACATATATTCACATAAATACACCATATACACAGACAAAAAAAATCACCATGAGCTACTACACAAGTGATTAAAATTGTTATCAAAGTCCCTTCCTGTTAAACCAATGATTTAACCAATTCAATATTCTGCTAGGTGGAAAAAAAAGGTTCCAGGAAATGTTGGTCAGGGCAGTGGCCACAGTGTACTTTATATAATGAATCTAAGTCAGTGCTTGGCAAATAAGGCAAAAAGATTAAGTGAATTATATTATTAATAAACCTCACTGGTCTTTTCTACTCTACAATTTTTTTCATGAGAATGTAGTTGTTTTTTATAGTTACAATTAAGGGGATCAAAAAGCCTTAGTCTTCTAATGTAGAAAAGCACCATATAAAACCATATGGACGTGCTAACTGAGCTCTATTAAGGAACCAAGGCATCAATGACGTGTAGGAACAGGCAGACAGAAATTGAGGCCACTGAAGCGTTTGAAATGTGCCAACTGTTTTCTAGTAAGTAGCATTCACTGCTGGTGACTCAAAAGAGATGACAACTGACTACTGCTGCTCTATCTTCCTTCTCTCTCTTTCCTAAGTCTTTACAACTCATCTGGTCAGCACACTGTCTCCAAGGAAAGGAGACAGGATCTGGGCAGAATCAGCCCTCAGTCACTGTTTGAGGCTAGCCATGGCACCTGAAAGTTATTCAGGAACTTCTAGCAAAGATTCAGGTTAAGGTGCATTCCTTTCCGGCTCATGTGCAGAAGAATCCAGCCTTTATCCTCTCCTAAATAAAAAGTCTGAGTAATGAACACCTGGTGTCACCGTGAGTCAACAGTAATTCCTTCAAAATAACTAAGATAACTTAGTAAATGTTGTTTCTACCAAACTCTCGACAACTAGTAATTCAAATACACTTTGCTGTTCTCATGTATACAACAGCTCTCCCTCGAAACCTTCAATTTTTCAGAGCCACAGGAAGTATAGGGAGCATAAATAATTGTTTTTTTCATAGAACTTTTTTTTCTCTGTGCAACAGCTCTGACTGTCCTGGAACTCGCTTTGTAGACCAGGTTGGCCTCCTGCCTCTGCCTCCCAAGTACTAGAATTATAGGCTACCACCACACAGCCTTTTCATAAAACTTTTAAAATCAAAGAGAAAATCATGTTTTACATTCCAATATCAATTCAGTTTAAAAGCAGAGCCAAATGTATTGATGCCTTAGGAAAACAGTCTACTGAGACCAGAGGAAAGCTCGCACAACTCATACCTATGCTTCTCTATCTATGCTAAAGCAGACAACACAATCCTACTTGGACTCTTCTGAAAAGTTTTACACATGCTTTGCATAAATATGTATCCCAAAAAACAGAACCTTCCAAGGAACAAGCTTGATGATTGTCATTTCAACCTAAAAACCATGTCTTCTCATGAAGAAGCCTTAAGAGACACATGACCTCACCAGGGTTGGTGACTTATGCCTGTAACTCCTAGCACTTGGGAGACTGAGGTAACAGGACTGCCTTGAGTTTTAAGCTAGTGTAAGCCATGCAGTCACTTCATACCTCTGAGGCTGCCTTCTCCACCACATGGCAGACCCAATTTAATGTCAACAACAACAACAACAAAAATTCCATCCTTTCTCCCTTGAGGTGCTTCTTTGTCAGGCATTTGGTCACAAGGAGAGTAATTACTTCTAAAACCAAATTTGTGGTGATGATTTGCAGTGATATGAAGTAGTCCTTTATTCTTCTTCAAGACATGATCTCCTGGACCCCAGGCTATCC